TTACTTTGGGGATGACGATTACCCCAGTGGCAGAATGAGAATGGCATGGTGGGCCGGAGCTTGGGTGGTGGAAGATTTAGGAGGCTATGGAGGGTACCTGGATAAGGGGTGACAGCATGTGTCACATCACACCCTGTTTAAGCTCCCAGCATAAAGCCCCAACTCCTTCAAATGACATTGTACAGTTTGGCTCTTAATTTGGTCATTCTCAGCCGCTAAGGGCTTGTGTTCTTCCATGAGCCAAACGCTCTTTCACCACTGTTAGCTTTGCCTGGAGTATTCTTCTGCTCCCTCTTCTTCTGCCAACATTTCCTTATTCTTCAGGTTTCAGCCGAAATGTCATTTCCTCACGGAAGCTTCCCCTGATCTCCTTGAATGCATTAGTTCCCTTGCAGTGTCCTCCTTTACACAAAACCTTCAGGTCACACATCACGCTTGTTCAGTGTCAGGAAGGTGGCTGTGTCCCTGGCACTGTAGCCCTTGTGCCATCAACACAGTCCACATTGAATCAGAATTTGTGGGAGGAATCCGCACCTCAAGGAAGTTGCTTCAGCACCCTCTTATTTCTGCCATACTTCTTACATTTCTCCCTCCTCTGACTTCTCTGTAGCCTTGAAGCATGCTTACCTCTTTAAACTTCTCCTGGATGCCATTATTTCCTAAAGTTACTGCCTTCTTTCTCTCTTTCCTTTGGACACTGCTAGATTTCTTGGAATGCTGTTTCAACTCTTTCACATGTACACTTCAGTTTCCAATGTATGTGTCTGTCTTCCTCCCATGTTTGGAAGAGCCTTAAAGAGGGCACCACCTCTTGTTTATTTTTCTCTCTCCTGCAGCCTCTTGTGTATAATAGGAACTCAGCAACGTTTGCTAACTTGACATGATTCTAAAGGTTGTACCTGTTATGATATTCATCCTTTTAAACAATATAGGAATTGAATTGTTTCTTTTTCAAAATTGATGTTGAATGTTGGCCCTAAAGGAAAAAAAAATGTGTTCAATTAGAGGAGACATGGAGATTTCAGAGGAAATTTTGAAGGACATTCGAGGATGCTTCCAAGGACATCGGCATTTAACTTAGAAATGTACGCTTTCCCTAGAAACAGTGCTGCTGTGCTCTCAGCTTTGGTTCAGAGAGGGAACTCAGAGCACATGAATGAGGAGAAGGGTTGGGGAGTCTGTGTGCCCCCTGAGATGGCCTGATGCAGAAGCACTGAAGTGTGAGAGATGACAAAGTGAGAGGAGGAACTTATGAGGGAGTGTGGAAGATCTTGTGGGGTGACAAGAAAGTGCTGTCCTGCAGAAAGTGTTTCCATTTGGCCAATTGGACTAGTGAGCCCAGGAGGTGAGGATGGGAAGTGGCGTGTCCCACCCAAGACCCATCAATGGCTTTGCTACTCTCTGTGGAACGAAAGGAAAACTTCTTAGCCTGGGAGTCAACATTTTCTTTAGCTTGGCCACAGCCCCCCTTTCCGTCTTTCTCTCCCATTTCTCTGCTCACATAGTTTATGCTTTAACCCAACCAGAGTACTTTCCATAACCTGCTGCCTCCTATTTATCTCTGGTAGCATTTCCCCCCACCTGGTTTACCCTCTTCCCTAATTTCCACCTGTTGAAATCAGACCCATCCTTTAGGGATCAGTTACGGTTTAAGTGCAGCCTTTCCTGACCTTTCCATTTGGGAATGATCTCAACAGCTCCTGTAGCACTCACCGGTAACACGCAGTGCTTGACACCATCTCCTGTTGTGCTATCTTCCCTTGGTTTTCAAATGCCACATCCACCTGACTATCCTTCTGCCTCTCAACCTGCTCTTTCCAAGGTCCTTGGCAAATTTAGCCTCCTGTACTTGGCTGTTTTAAAGGCTGAAGTGCCTCAAGGTTCCATTCTGTATTGTGCTTGAGTTCTTTTCTTGTTGGTTTTTGTCTCTCTTGTGTGCTTTTGATCTATGGTTATCCTGTTTTTCACATGTTAATCCATTAGTATCTACTTGCTTTAGACTGGTAATCATATAGGCTGAAACACATTCTAAAAAGAAAGAAAAAAATCTACATTTTCTTACTACCCTCCCTCACACTTTATGATTTTGATGTCCTCTTTGACAGTGTTTATTCTTCTCCTGTTCATTGTAGTTACATTTCCAGTTGTGATTTTTCTTTTCTGTGGATTCTTGGTTCTTTTCTATTTAGGGAAGAACTTTCAATGTTTCTTTTAGGGTAGGTTTAGTATTGGTGTATTCTTTTAGTTTTTGTTTGCCTGAGAAATTCCTTATCTCTTCTATTTTAAATGATAATCTTGCTGGGTAGTTTATTCTAGCTTGCAGTTTTTCTCTTTCAGGACTTTGAATACATCTTGCCCCTCCCTTCTGGCCTGCCACATTTCTGTAGAAAAATTAGCAAAGTTTCATTCTGGATCCTCTTCTTTTCTCATGCTTTTTCCTTGGCCACCTCAGTTCTGGTTTCAGTTACTATCAAACTCCCATCACCAATGACTTCTCTGAGCTCCAGGGCCCCCCCTGACATCACCACCTGGATGCTCAGAGGCAACTCGACTGAGAACACAATCTCCATGCTGAGCCTGTTCCCTCTCTTGAGGGGGTGGCGCTACCAGTTCCACAAGCCAGCAACCTGGAAGCTCCTCTCCTGGACCCCTCCTTCTAAACCAAGGCTGGAAGATTTTTGCCTTTTACATGCCTCTCTGGCCTGCTATTTCTCCCCATCTCTACTACCACTACCCTTGTCTCATCTTCCACCATCCACTGTCTGGACTGCTACAGCCACTTCCTCACTGGATTTCCCCGTCAACTCTTGCCCCACTCTGTTCTTCACACTGCATGCAACTAGAATGGTCTTTTCAAAATGTAAATCTGATCTTGTCATCCCTTTGCCTAAAGCCCACCAACCACTTTCCACTGTCTGCATGATCTGCTCCTGCCTCTTTGTCCAGACTCATCTTGTACCACTCTGTCTGGGCTCCAGCTACACTGGTCTTTCAGTCTCTTTAGTGCCCATCACAGGTCCTTTGCACATGCAGCTCCTTCTATTGGGAATGAGCCATCCCTCCTTTGTTGCTTAGGTAACGCCTCCCCTCAGTCTGTATTTTAGTTCGGCTATCACTTTGTCAAGGAAGCTTTTCTGTAACCCCTCCTTACACACTCTCACAGTGTTCTGTCCCGTTCCTTTATTGCTTTTACTCCATTTGTAGTTACACACCTGTTACTGCGATTATTTGATTATCCTGTTTGTCTCCCTCAACAGCCTGTAAGCTACAGAAGGGCGGGCCCACATCTATGTTTGCTCTCTGCTGTGTTCCCAGTGCTTAGTAGACACTTGATAACAAATAATGAATATGTGAATGCCACTTCTGAGGACAGGTAATGGGAAGCCTTCATCTTTGAAAATGTCAGTGCCTGTGCAATGAATGGATGCATAAAATATGTGTATAACTCAGAATGTGGTGTAAAAAGAGTTCATTCATTCACTCCAAAATGTTGAAACATATGTGGAGGTAACGTATTAGAGGCTGAGGACAGCCATGGTGAGCAAGATTAAATGACGACAGTGTAGCATACAGTATGCTTCAGCTATACGCCTTTGGCTTCCATGTCGTCTAGGCTACCCTCCCCACTTGCCCATTTCAGCCCTTTGTTCCTTTTTACTTTGGCAGGGCCACCCCTAGGGCCCAAATACATTTGGTTCTTCTTTGTATAAACTAACTCTTCCTCTCACCTTTTTTGATTTTTTTCTTTCCCCTTAATGGAGGCACTGGAATGAGCCCAGGACCTTGTGCACACCAAGCATGCGCTCTACCACTGAGCTATACACCCCTTCCTTTTTGATTGCATGTTAGCTATAAAACATTCTGGTGACCGGATCTCATGAGTCCCCATAAAAAAAAAATACTCTGCTGGCCAGAGTGACCAGCTACCAGGCTGCCCTCTTGAACTGGGGCCTGGCTACAGAACCCCGAGAAGACAACCATCTGGTTAAGTTCATGTACAGGGTGGGAGGAGAAGGCACTTCAAAGCATGGGACTCCTGTTTGTTCCAGGTAGTCCTCTGCTTGGCTTTCTGGACCCCTCAGCTTCACACTCAAGTTTCAGGAATGATCTGAAAGAGAGCTGTGACCAAAACCCATCTATTTTATCAGTGGCGCTTCAAATGGAGAAGGCTCACCTTTGCCTATTGCTTCTGGGAGCAGAAAAACCTGGCTGTAGGCAAGTGTTCCCCACTTTCTGTATTCATCCAGACCCCCCTCCCCTCAGGGCACACTGGGCATTCTCTCCACTATTTGCCTTCTCTTTTCCTAATTCTTTGACCTCCTTAGTTACAGACTCTAGCGATTACCTGCTTCATTCTCTCCATGCGCGATGAGTCATTCGGGCAATTCTGCTTACCAACTGTAGGTCTTCCCCATCTCCCTCCCTCTCTCATAGGTCCCCTTGGCTTAACACACTGGCAGCATTAGGTTACAGACGATCCTGCCAGGGAGAGTCGCCATGCAGCCAGCCCCATTCTGTCAGTTCCATCTGCAAATCCTCTGGTAGCTGGGACAGGCTTGCTCCGAATCCCCTGTGATTGGCAGCTTCTGGCCCTGAGTGGAATTCATCCCATGCCATTTTAAGGTGGCAGATTATTTTTACACCTTTAGGGTGGAGAAGGGAGTAGCCCTTGCTCAGGAACCCAGATTTTATGCAGACACCTGGCCTTTCAGATTACAGGACTATATTGAACACTCAGACGCTGCTTGACCATTCTCAAGGACAAGAGAGTATACAGAAGATAGAAAACACCTAAGGAGTGCGAACTAATATTTTTCTCTAAAGTAGCAAAGGGAATATGGTAGCTGAATGCTTCAGAGAATGTCCCATTTTAAAGACACATTCCCAGAGGTGCAGAGCTTAAGTGGATTCAGTGAACCTCAGGATACAAATTTGGCTTTTCACTGGAACCTCAAACCTCAAAACCACTTTGGTTGGTCAGTTATCACCACTACTCTCTGTTGCCAGGTTGAAATATTTATTGAAAAATTGAAAACACAGATGCAACATATTATACAAAGAAAAGTCTTAATACCATAATAAAAGTACTGTTGGAAGAAAGCAAAGCCAGTGGCTACCTGCCCTGGGAAGGTAGGCACTCAGTGAAAAATGAAATTCATTTAGAGGAACTATTCTAATGGAAAATTGTGGTGGGGGAGGTTAAAAACAGAAGAAAAACAAACCCAACCCCATCCCTGCAAACCTCGATGTGAAAGAGTTTGTTAGAAGTTTGAGACAATTGCGTTATCACCCAGATTTATCTGAACCCCCTCGGTTTGTCCCTGTGAGTAGTAATCAGCTTAATTTCGGGCCTTCAAACCTGAGGTAGTTGAGGGTCACCTGAAAGACATGTCTGGAAATCACCTACTCTCAGAATCGGACCCAACGTTTGACCAATTGTTTCACGTTGCTTTGGCTCCCGGGGTGACAGGCTGAGTCACCACTGTGGGGGGCTGATCCTGGATTGGGTCCGGACCTGGGAGGCTGAGCAGCAGACAGCTGGCCCGCTTTGCTGTGGTGACGGCTGGCAGGCCCGTGGTGGTGCTTTTCTATGCGACAGGCATTGCGGTCTCTGGAGGACCGAGGATGGTGGAGAGGGCAAAGCCGGTCTGGTTGGAAGGCCAGTGCCAGGACTGAAGGCTCTTATTGGCAGGAAGGATTTCCAGAGACTTGGAAAGGTGGGAGAAGGTAGCACGAACTTCACCACTTATTAACGACCAGGGTAACTGGAGCCCGGAGACCCCTCCAGACTAGTTTCTGACCAAGAAGCAAGCACTCCCCAGGGGCAAACTCACAGCCAACTCCTCAGTGAGGCTGAAGCAAAGCAACTGGACTGAACAACATGTGTGCGTGACCCCCTGGTACCTTGTGTAAACCCTGCAGTCTGACTTGGCAGCTCAGACACTTCCAAGAAAGGATGCTCTGGACAGAGTCTGGTTTTTCCAGCCACTGGGTTAGGGACTGAAATTCAAGTGGGATCCTAGGGGTCCTGCTTTGGGCAGCAGAATCAGCCAGCAACCTCAGTTAGAGTCTCATTTAAACACCTTGTTGAGAAATAAGTAACCCCACAAAGGTAGGTCTTTCCTTCCATTTTTTCCTTATTATGGTCACTCATAGACTCAGAGATATTAGAGCACCGTTATCACACAATTAAAGTAACAGATTCAGCTGTATTTCGACCTCTCAACCCCAAGCCATCATCTTGTTGGTGTCCTGCCTTGCTCTGACCCATTTATATTGGCCCATGGGACTTCGCTCACTAATGATGCTCAGTAACTCATTTCAAAGGCTGTGAGGGTCATTTTAAGCCTTAGGATGTGATTCCTGTTTTAATCAAGGTATTTCACACCTAGGATAACATACTCATTTTTAGAACGGCCAAGGTAGGACATTTTGATTTTGGCTGGAGAATGGACTAGTTTCTAAGTCAACTATGAAAGTAATGATGCTAACTCTGACTTACAGTTCCTCATGTGAGACCGAATCAGTGTGTGCTCCTGTTTAAGTGCTTTCCTGAGTGTTTTATTACTCCGGATAAGCCCATGAAGGTTTTAAAAATTACCATGGCTTTTTTAGCAGGAGTGTTATTCAGAGAATCCTAATCTGGTCCATTATACTAGATTTTCCCCCACTGGTAATTTGGAACACAGGAATCTGAATGGCTGAGATTCTGAAAGTGGGGACCAGCCCCCTTTGGAAATGTTGACCCACGCTGGGAACATACCAGTTAGCTCAACTGGCACCACTGGGCCAGGGAGGCTACAAACCACTTCTGCACCTTGGGTGGAAAAACACTGAGCACAAAGAAGCATTAAGCAGAAGACCAGTCAGTTTCTACCGCTGATCTCTCTTTAGCCCAGAATGGAGATCACACATCTGAGACTCGTCATCTGAGCTAATGGGACAGTTTCTTGAGTGCCCTACTTAGAAAATGCACAGAGAGGGGGTTGGGGGGATTTTGGAAGAAGGGGGAGCTGTTCACAGTGATCAAACAGGAGACTCGCAACCTGTCCCGTAGAACACTCAGCAGTGTTCCTTGGGGACAGGTCCTGGGAAGTGCATGTTGGCTACTACCTATGAGTTGCTACAGATAAGGAAGGAAGGAGGACTTGTTCAAGATCAGAAGGTCACTTAAACGCTGGGGTCCATCTGGGGGTGATGAAGTGCTGGCAGGCTGCCCATCTCTAGGACACTGTGGACACACCCGCTGTCCTCATCCTGTCCGCAAGGCAGCAAGGGCCTGGGACGTGTGGCTGGAAAGGGTCAAAGCCGGTGGTCCCCCTCTCTTGTTATCCCTGACCCAGACGCTCTGAGGAACTTTCCTGCTTTGAGATCCAAGCCGGTAACAGATCGGGACGGCATCCTGGCCTTGTTTCTGATTCTTGAAGACAGATGTACTCGGGCAGCAATGCGAGCCTTGCCACAGTCACACCTGACATCCTGATTGCTCAAGCATCTATTGCTGCTGCTGCTGCATGGAGGTTAGTAATAAATATTCAAGGTACCAAACCAAGCCCAGGGTTCTTCCCTGCTTGGAGCAAGTTTGCCTGATCTTCTGGGTCTGTTGATTAGGTGGAACACGGAACTCTCTTCTTCAGATTCAAGATTCAAGAGTTTGCCAAGGCAGACATTTGGAGAAAGGAATTGGAAACCCCTCACCTGCTCCCTCTTAGAGCCCTGCCTGGGTCTGAAGGGAGGTGCCAGCTGGAGGCGGCACAGAAAATTCCTTCTGGGGGAAGAAGTGTGGCTACTCCCACCAGCTTCGTTCCAGCCCGTGCTAAGGTATTTCAGCCTGGTCACAAGGAGTTCCCAAGAAAGGTGGTTTCCTGATGACCTGGGCCGTGTGCACCCTTCCTTGCCCTCTCCCTGTGGCCCCCTCACTCGTGAAGGTGGGCAGAGGCTTTTGGCTGGGTTCCAGCTTTGAGAAGGAAAGGCACTCGCTCGCTCTGCTTCTGCCTTTGGAGGAGACCCATGGCCTGCCCGACCCTGGGGAGTGGCCTGGGCAGACCCACACTCGCTTGGCAGGACTCTCGGCATGGCGGGGAGCAGGGGGGCTGACGGGGAGCACCATGGCGAAGCCTGGGCAGCACCATCGCTGTGAACTCCTGTGGGTGGGGCCCCTGATTGCGCAGGGCTTCAGGGGTGAGCCCCTGGGAGGGTCAGCTATATGAGTGAAACTTGGGGGGACAAAAAAAACCACCAAAAAAACCCCAACCAATCACCGTAAGAAGCAGTGGGAATCCATAGAATTGCCAAAAGATGGGGAACATTGCCTTGGCATCCTTAGTCAGGACACCCCTGCTGTCCTTCCGACGCTGCGCAGACTCAGGGTCGGGTCCTGGTTTGGAACCCACCAGCCCTCTGATGCTCACAAGGTTTGTGCAAATGATGAAACTGAAAAGACTGAGAAGAAAACAGAGAAGAAAACGCATGAGATCTTCCCTGGCCAGGTTCAACAGCAGCAATTCCCACCAACAAGGGTACCAATCGTGTGGGGGTAAAACAGCAGGCAGTCTGGGAGGAAGGTCCCTTCTGTTGGGGTGGCCCCAGTTCCCCTCCTCTCGGCTGGGGGGCAGTGAATCATGGGTTCGAACACAGAGGGAATCCCCGTGGAGGGAGTCTTTGGAAGGCCAGGCAGGTCCTCAGCACCAGACTCCAGGGGTCTGGTCCCTGGTAGGGGAATCACACACACACAGATGAACAACAAGGATTTACACTCTGATGTGTGGGGCATCGGTGTGGCTCTATTCTTTCTCGATGACTGCTTCTTGCAGTGTAGGTGGTGATGCTTCTGTTCCTAAAAGACAATAATCACTTATGTTTCACAGCGCTTCATGCCTGCAAGGTTTCACTTCCCAACAACGGCCGCCATACTGGGCTCTAATACACGCTGTAATCATACCCATCTATTCCCTGAGTCAGGTGTCCAGGAATGACTAGGTGGTGCTCCCAGACTCAGCTGAGGCCAGTCAGAATCTAAATCCTGGTTGTGATCAAGTTGGCCACTTTGGATATGCAGGAAAGCAGCCCTCCCAGATTCCGGGTGACCATGAGTCCCCGGGCTGGTGGGTGACCTTGCTTCACTCCACGCCATTTCTAGCTCCTGACCTTTCTTGCTCTCACCACAGATGCTCATCGCTGCTCTAGGCAGCCGGGACCTTGTAACTCACCTGCCCTGTCCGCTGCATCTTCACCATCCACTATTCCATCATTCACTACTCAACTGGCTAGAAACAAAACTCCCAGGGAGAACCAGGCTAACTGTGCCTGGAAGGCAATGGTGGTGAGTGAATGACCAGCCAGTCCACCAGTCAACGTTTAGGTCTTGAAAGGGGACTGCAAAAGCTTTCTATTCAGCAGTCTACCCCAGTGTGGGGCTTACAGGTTATTTACAACTGAAGACAAACACGCTGTGAGTAGGAAAGAGGAGGAGGAAGTTCCCCATCATCCTGTTCGATTCGAGGGGGAGGCCCACATCACTCAGCATCCCCTCCCTGCAGGCTGGAGCCGTCCTCAGTCCCCGGTCCCCGCCCTGCTCACCTTCCTCCCAGCCCTCAGCGACACCAGCCAGCTCGTAGTGCTTTTTCCGAAGCTCTCCCAGTTTTTGACGCTCCTTCTGCAGTTCATTTTCCAGCTCCAGCACCCTAACCTGCAGGGAAAGTGGCCTTTTCTTTGAGCAGGGATCTGAGAATGGTCTTGTTTCTACTGAATCCCTTTCTCCTCCGGGTTCCCGTTCTCTTCTTCCACGTTATGCCCGTTGTTTCTGGAGTTCACCCAGTTCTCAATTTCAACCTTGTCTCTGCTCTAATTTCTCCATCCTCTCGGTCATCCATCTATTCCAGTGGCTCTTACGTTTTCTCACTGGGACCCCCTACCGGAAATGAATGATGCTTTGCGGTCCAAAGGCCTGGATGGGAGTAGGGCTTATCTTATGTCCCTCTGATAAATCACTAACTAAAAACATACTACTCAGCTATAAACAAGTGGAATCTTGCCATTTGCCACAACAGGGATGGCTCTAGGGGGTATCATGATAAGTGATATGTCAGACAGGGAAAGACAGATACCGTATGGTCTCACTTCTATGTGGAATCTGAAAAAACAAAGCAAAATAAAATGAAAAGAGATTCACAGATGCAGAGATTAAACAGGCAGTTGCCAGTGGAGAGGTTGAAGAGGGTGGGTGAAATAGGTGAAGGGGATTAAGAGGTACAGACCTCCAGTTATAAATAAGTCATGAGGATGTAATATACGGCATGCAGAATATGGTCAATAATACTGTCATAACTTTGTATGGGGATGGATACATGGTGATCATTTCATCATGTAAGCAAATACCAAATCGCTATGCAGTACACCTGTATCTAACGTAGTATTATACATCCACTAGTTCAATAAATAAAAAGAGAAAAAATGGGGGAGAAAAGAACTACTCGATCGTTTAGCCTCTCTGTAGGACACAGTCTAATCCAGTCGTAACCCATCTCCTTCCATCCTAGTTCCCTGCAAGTCCAGGCACGAACCAAATGCAATGGTTCTGGCATCTCTGAGGAACTGATACAACCTAGGGTTATTATTGTACAGGAAAAGGTGCAGACCATCTCACTAAAGGAAGGGTTGGTTATTGATTATTCCTACTCATTAATTTTAGTTATTTACTATCACAATAAATATTAGCTCAGTGCTCATCAGGTACTCCCGGCTCTGTTATAGTTGCTGGAGACAGAGCAGCACCCAGACAGACAAGGTCCCTGCTTACCTTGGAGGGGGGAAGAGACAAAGTAAGGAACAAGAAAAGATCAGATGGTGAAGAAAATGACACAGGGTGATGTGACTAAGAACAAGGGCAGTCAGCCAAGGCTACTCTTCGGAAGTAATTTTTGAGCTGAAATCCAAAGAGATCAGCTGTTCAGAAAAGTGGAGAAGAATATTCCAGGCAGAGGAAGCAGACTCTACAGCAGGAATGAGCTCGAGGTGCTGGGAGGACAAAAAGAAGTCCTGTGTGGTGGACGTGGGAGAGGGTCACGGGATGAGGTTGGAGAAACAGGCAAGGATCATTCCACTTGTGGCCCATGGTCTGCGGGAGGACTTTGGGTATCACTCTAAGTGCAAAGGGAAGCCACTGGGAGATTTTTTCCCACATTGGAAGATTTTAAGCAGGGAAGTGACATGCTGTCGTGTACGTTTTAAAAATAGAGGCTGAAAGCACTGCACAGGGGCAGAGTGGCAGCAATAGACCCCGTAAGGGGATTGCTTTTTGTCTGTTTTTAAACTTTTTATTATGGAAAATGATAGAGAAGGATGGTACAGTGACCTCCATCCTCTGCCTTGCATGTTGTTCTTCCAGCTAGCAACATTCTTTTCTGTTCTCCCCGCCGTTACTCCAGCCCCACCACGGGACTATTTTGAATCACTTACTTGTACACATTATAGTTAAGTTGCTTTTGCAAGAGCTCAGGAGAGAGATAAGGGCAGCTTAGATGAGGTTAGGGAGACAGAAAAAAGTGGAAAGGTTAAGGGTACGTTTGATAGACTTAGAGTTGCTAAGACTTGCTGGTGGGGCTGATGTGCAGGGTGAGGGAAAGAGAGGAACCCACGATGACTCCCAGCTGGGTGGCGGTGGTGCCATTTACTGAGATAGAGAAAACCAGGGGAGGGACAGATTTGGGTGACAGGAAAGCCAAGAGACCTGTTTTGGACACAGTAAGTCTGGATGCCCACATTTACGGGGCAGCAAGTGGAGACATCTGGACAAGTACAGAGCTCAAGGAGGGGAACCCGGGGATCCAGCTGGGGAGAATTGGGTATTTATCAGCATATCGATGGTATGTGAAGTTAAGAGGGACAGGATAGACCAGTAGGCAGGAGCGTGTAGAGTGTAGGGAGAGGAGATGGGCTTGAGCCCAGTTCCTTCAGTGCTGACACAGAAATCTGGCCACCCGACTTCTCCTAGAAATGCTGAGGGACCCATCTATGGACTTTAACAGTCTCAATCTGGACTTTACGCTGGGACTGTGAGACCAGTTGTTCTAGAACAAGGATGTCTGGTATTTTCCAGGATCTCACTGATTCTTATTTTGCATGGCATAATGTTACTAAAACTGAGAGAAATGGCATTGCCTTTGATGGGTTAACAGTAAACTGATTAAAAAAAAACCAAACTAAAGTCATATACAAATAATTCATATTGGAGGTTTAAAAAAAACTTTCGCTAGCAGGACTATTAAATACCAGTTTATAATCTGCTAGGAGATGCCTGGTAACATTTAGAGGGACACCAGTCCAGGACTGGTGGGTAAGAGTTATGGTTCTGATCTTTACTGATCACCTCTCTCCACCTCCACTGCTTCCTCCAGCATCACTTACGTTCATTCTTGGGCTAATATGTCTGTGTTCACGTCCCTCTAAGTCTCTCTCTCACTGACTTCTCTCTATGGGAATAATATTGAGGGTCAATGTCACAAAAGCAATAGGGACTAACTAGACTTAGAGCTGGAGTTCCTACCTGGGAATCCATCTCCTGGCGTTTGATCTGGGTCAGTGTCATGCTTGAGAAGTCCATGTTGTCTGCAAGGATGGAAACAGGAGGGTCTTGTTGAGTAATAGCCCAGGCTGATTCTCCCCCGAGAGGCGGCTGGTGCCAACGTTCTACTCAAATGCTTGGTTTGTGATTTGTGAACTCATGCGTGAATGTAAGTGAGGGATGGAGAGGAAGGTAGACAGTGACAGAACAACCAGGGTCAGCGCCCCTGCCGCTCGGCGGACAATCAGGCCTGTAGAGTCATTTCTCTGAATTCAGAGAGGTAGCTAAGTGGAAAATCAAGCTCAGGCCTGTCCCTACGGTGACAGAAATGGCAGGATTATGCGGTGCCTCAACTTTAGAGAAAAGAAGTCTGAACGTACAAAGATGAAAAGAGAATTTGGAAATAGGACTGTGGGAAATTGGGATTGTGAAGAATGTCAAGCACAGTCACACAGGATGGAGAAGAAGAGCATGGCTTCTGAAAGGCTACCTGTGTCCTCGATCTGTGATTTGCCAGAGATGGTCGAAGCCACAACCGCGGCGGTGGCCTGGTTCACGCCGCGAGAGGCCTGCTGCAGCTGGGCCAGGTTCGGGCTGTCCTTGTCAGCTTTCACCTGCCAGGACCAACAAGCAGGTTTAGGGGCGCACTACATAGAGCAGCAAGGACTGACACAAACAGTCACTCTGATGGTTCCTGACAAGTGTGGGTGTTGCTGTGGTCAGCAATCAACTTCTCAAAGGCTTCTGCCCTCGGGGTCAACCCCTGACATCTCTCTCTGACACCAAAAATCATTCCTGGCTTATCTGCTTGGTGGCCCCAAACTCTCGCTTTATGTTACTTTGCTAAAGTGTCCCAGTTGTGGAAACCAGTTTGGGACAAGAATAAGTAAGGAGGAACAGGGAACATGCCCGCAGTACATGACCACTCCTGGAAGGAGGATTCTGGTGGTGAGCTCTGCATTAGGATTAGTTGGGGGGAATGGTTCAAATCTGGAGCCTCTTGAGGAGAGGCAGACATTGGTTGTGGAACCTCAGAGCGAAGCCAGGTAACCAGCTTAGCAGACGGACATTTTCCTTCTTTGAGAACCCCTTGAATGTATGATTGTTAATCAGAGGTCGGCATGCCTGGGGCCCTTAAAAGCTCCCTGCAATACAAGGGAGGAGAGCCACAAGGACTGGGCAGAGGGGCTCCCTGCTGAAAGGCTGTTAGAGGGTGGTAGTATGGGACCCCTTAGAGGCAGAATTTTAATTTGAGACTCAACCTACCTGGACGCTGGATAAATCATCTGTTCTTGGGGCCAGCACCATGGTCCAGGAATATTCTCTAACCTAGCCAGAGCTTAGAGGGCCCCGGGGAGTCCAACACGGGTCCTACCTTGGATGCAGCCACAAGCTGGGCTGTGCTAGCAGCAATTTCACGCGAACACACCATTAGCTCCTCAAATTTCCCTCTGCCTTGTACCACCAGGTCAGCTGCATCCCTGATGGTCAGGAAAGGACCAGATGGGTTCTGAAACTGACAGCTGCAACCCCTGCTGATCTCCCTGTAGACAACGCCCGTAACCCCGGCAGACAGGGAGCTCAGCCTGCCCGCCCCACCTCTGGGCTGCCCCAGGAGACCCAGGCTCCCTTTTAAACTTTCAGTCCTACTGACTTATCAACAGTTTGTTTCTAGAGGGCAGATTTCCCCCTCCAAGTTACTCTCTTTGGTGGGTCCGTGGAAGAGGGGCGGAGGTGAGAAGTCTCGGGACGGACAGATCCTTACACCATGACAGTGGCTCCCCAGCCCACAGCTTTGGAGGCTGAAATGAGTCCTTCCGTCCATCGAGAATTCTTGGCATAAAATTCTTTAGGGGATGCTGTACCCTAGGGAAGCGAAAAATAATGATGGCTACCTTTAATTTTGTGTCTACTATGTGCCAGGTGCTTTTATATCTATTAGCCCATATGGTCTTCACAGTAACCCCGAGAGGCAAGCATTATTATTCCCATTTTACAGAAGAGAAAACTAAGATTCAGAGAGGCAAAAATATGTTTCCTGAGGTCATGCAGGAAACAAATGGAAGTAAATCCTAGGCTCTTCTGACTCCAAAGCTCATAGCATTTCTTTTATATCCCAATATCTCTACATTGTCTATAAAAGTATATGTTATTCATACATATATACAAATAAATTCTGATCTGACGGGAGTCTAGCCGTATTCCATGATTTGCCAAAAGAGGAGAGTGAGTATAATGAGTAATTAAACAATAATTTCTGAGGGGTGCGAGGAGGGGGAACTGGAGGAAGGTAGTCAAAAGGTACCAACTTCCAGTTATAAAACAAATAAGTGCTAGGGATGTAATGTACCACATGATAAATATAATTAACCTGGCTGGATGTTACATATGAAAATTGTAGTTCTTATCACAAGGAAACCATCTTTTTTCTATTTCTTTAATTTTGTATCTATAAAAGTGATGGAGGTTCACTAAACTTATTGTCATAATCATTCCATATGTATAAGTCAATCATTATGCTGTATACTTCAAACTTATACAGCACTGGATGTCAATAAAACTGAAAGAAAAAAAATTTCTACTTGGAATTTAAAAATGCTTTTCTGCTTTGGAAGTGCCTTGACAGTCGGAGAATCTACAGACACTCCTTGCTCAGTCCCTCTTTCTATTTTGGGGGCGGAAAACATCACCTCTCAGACTGATAAAAAGCACCCCCAAAGCAGACACGGCTTCGTTCTTTACAGGACCGTCTCCAGGCTCCTAAGCCCCTCCCTGGACCTTGTCTCCTGAGCTGCAGCTGCACACAGGGGTGTGAGAAAGGAAAAGAGAGGATGATGATGCCAGCAAAGAAGTGACAAAACTAAAGTGATAGTGTCAACAAGAGACGGGGGCAGAGACCGAATCACCGAGGGTCGACCGCTGTCAGAAAGAGACGGCAGAGCCCCCAGTGCAGACTCTGCCCTGGGCTGGCACTTCTGATCTGCCTGGTTTCAAGAGTCCTGACTTCCTCCTCCAAGGGCCTGGACTTGCAATGCACACTGGGTTTCCACAGCGGGTTCTGACGACGTCTGCCTGCGGCTGGATTCTCTGGCTGACTATTCTCTGGGGACCTGGCAGTGCCCCAGCTTCTCTCTGAGGCATCTCTGATATCCACGGGAGCAGCAGCTGTGCCTTCAGGTGGACACACACGATTGGATGGCAGCACACCGAGATCTCACTGGGTGTGTACTGAACAGACTCAGCCTCTCCAGGAACTGGGAATCAGTAACTGACGTCTGCTCTGCCAGGGCCCTCACCCACGCTTACCCGGCCACTCTCCACTATCTCTCTCTGGAGTTCCTTTGAGGCCACGATCAGGACCTGAATAGTTTGCATCAGGCTGGTACAGGACCCAAGAATCCTGCAAAAAAACAAAACAAAGTCAGGGACAAAGGACTGAGACCAAAACCAATGCGGAAGACTGTTTTCTCTTTCCCTCCTAAACACAGGCAAACTTCGGATGGGAAGGAAGGCAGGGAATATTCTGGAGGTGACGCCCTGAAGGAAAGGTGGGTGAGTGAGGAGAACTGACTGTGGACCTTCCTAAGGAATAGTTACATGGTGGTGATTCTTGGGGTTTCTTTCCCCAATAACCCGACAGCGATATTACGGTCATCTTAACACTGCTCTTGACAATTCCATAGACTCAGCCCTTCCCTGTGGCGGCTAATACTCTAACCAGTATCATCCAACGCAGCAAAGATGGACCCTGACCACCTACGGGTCACCACATGCTGCTCAGACTGACCTTTCATTCACCTCCAATTTGACTCCAGTGTCTCCAGCTCGGGATTTGCTGAGCATCTCCTGTAAAAAGAAGCAGGGTTTCTCAAGATGTCATGGGAACTGAGAACGCACTGGCAGCCTACCACACTTTGGGTCCAATATCCTGCAGTAGCTAAGAAACTTAGAAGTGCCCATCCGTGTCCTAGTGAATGTCAGGGAAAGAACTCAGACCTCCGATCTATTCAGTGGGGAGTAGCTGGTGCTACAGTTAATGAGCATCTTGACATTGCAGCACCTGGGCTGACGTGCACAGGACTCTGAGGGCCATGGTGTCATGCCAACAGGGGCAGCTGCTACCAGGTCCTCGAGGCAGGTACTTAGACCAAGGCAGGCGGCCCAAGTCTACCAGCAAAGGAAAAGTATGTGACTTTTCCAAGGGTGCCTACTGGCTTTTCCCTGAGGCTACAGTTACCATTGATTTATTGAGTGCCTGGCACTGAGAGAAACATGCATTATTCCACTGAAAACTCTTACAACACCCCTCTGAGGGAGGTACAGTTATCATCACCTAGAAACGCAATCTGAATCTTAGCGAGGTTAACGTAACTTAATGGAAGTCCTACAGCTAGCAAGTGGTCAGTCTGGAGCTTGAATGCGGGATGGGCTGTTGCCAAAGTATGGGATCCTTGAGGAAACTGCTCACCCTCCCGTGGCGAGAACGTTCTATTTTCTATACCTCAGAGATGCCAGTGAATTCAGATTTTGGTTTGTTTTATAGGGGGCTCTGCAAACTTGAAGAATGACTGAAATCTACCCAGCAGGCAATGGTGCCAAAGGGTAGCTGCAAAAGCATCACTTTAGGAGACCCTGCAGGGACTTCCACACCTCTATTCTGGCCGTTGCAGTTTCAATGGCAGCTGAAGTGGCAGCCATTTCCTTGTCCACCAGGTCCCCCAGTTCCTCCTGTTTGATGTCCAGGCCTCTGGGCAGGAGCTCCTGTGAATAGCATCACAAAGGCTGAAACGACCCTTTGACCTCCTCTCTACCCACCCGTGCAGACTGGTAATCCTCACTTGATAGCAGAAGGCAGGAGGGCCTCACCTCGTAACACACTTCTACATGCCATGGAGGGCGTCCCTCATAGGCCATGTCTGGAACTCTCCACAACACAAGCCTGGCAACTTCACGCTCCTCCCACCTCTGCTCTCACCCAGAACACACCTCCTTCCATCGCTGCCAAACCCTACAAGGCCCCTCAGTTCCAGACGCGCTGACCCTGACCCCACACTTGTACAGGGTTCATTGTATTTGCTGCTTGGGGGGGATTTTAAAAACATCTTCAAACGTGAATGATGTCTTCCAATCAGAGAGTCTGCCCCTTATTTAACTTTGCCTCCAGGCAGACAGTTACTACTCCTGTCCCACAGATGGGAAGCCAAGACACAGAGAGGACAAAAATTTTTTTAAGTTAATTGCCTCATTAAAAAAAAATCATTTATTTATTTATTAATGGGGGAAGGTGGATTAGGTTTCTTTCTTTCTTTCTTTCTTAATAAAGGTACTGGGGATTGAACTCAGGACCTCGTACATGCTAAGCACGTGCTCTACCACTGAGCTATACCCTCACCCTGATCAAATGTCCTGACCACAGTTACTGCTAATAAATAGAGAGAAAGGTGTGTGAACTCAGGTCAGATGGCAAAACCGGTAATCTTTAGAAATATTATGTGTCACACATACAAGAGTTTATGTGAACAATGACCCGTATTATCTACCACCCAGACTGAAGGAATAGCTGAAGAAACATCAATACCTTTGAAATCTCCTTTGTAGCCTGTTCTGACTCTATCTCCCGTCCTCCCTACTCCCCACCTCAGGATAAACACAGAATTCAGAAGAATGCTTACCTCGTCTATGTTTATAAACTCTCTATGAATGCATCTTTAAAGAATATGTTAACTTTGTATATTTTGGCCTTTATTTAAAAGGGATCATACTGTACATATTTTTCTACGACTCATTTTTTTCAGTTAGCATTCTGTGTGAGATTCATCCTTTGCTTTATATCCTGGAGAAAGTCTTACATGTGTGCATCCAGAGATATGTAAAGAATAATCAGAGCTGTACATTCATAACAGCCCCAAACTGGAAATAACCCAAATGTCCATCAACAAGAGAAGAGATACATAAACTTAACTACAGTCACACAACGTAATACTGTAGAGCAGTGAAAATGAATGTATCACGTGGATGAATCTTATACATAAAATGCTGGAAAAAGCAAGTTGTAGAAGTTTATGACACACAGAACTAACAACATGTTACTTAGGGTGGGGGAACATAGTTTTTCTATTATCTTTTTCTGAAACTCTGATTAAACAGTCTATATATCACCTCCATATTCCAACATATAAAATCTACACCACATTCTGTGTAATTCCTTCCGTTCTATCATCCAGTTCACTAATTCTTTCTTCAGCTTTGTTTTAACCTACTATTGAATCTTTATACTAAGTCATTACTTTCAAGGCTTATGTTTTTCATTTCTAGAAGTTCTGTGGTTCTTTTTCAAACATATCAGGTAACTTTTGAAAACATCTAATTCCTCGGCCACATTTTTAATACCTTTGAAGAAGTTCTTTAACATGTCAAACATATTTATTATGAACTTACATTCCTTTGGACTCCATCTATGAAACTTCTTTGAGATTTAGGTTCAAAGTATATTCCTTCAGAGACAATTTGGAGTGACTTCTCCCTGGTACCTAGACCCCTAACAATCTGACTACTTTAAACTTAATTTTCCATTTGGGGTTTAGGCCACAGAAGTAGTATGAGATTTGGGCCCCAAACCCATGGAAAGGTGGTTTAGGGTTAGGAATACTCTAGGCAGCTGTGTTTCTTTCTCTCAGAACCAAGATCTTCCCTTTTCCCCATTCACGCAAGGTGTGGCCCTTCGGAGTTCCTCTTTGGGATGAAGGCTCTCCATTCCACTCTTTTATCCTACTTGGGCTCAGGTTTTGTTTCTTTGTTCTCCTCTGTATGTGTGGTCCCTTCAGACCCAAGCTCTAGGTTACCAGGGATGGACAAACACTGGCTCCAGCATCCTTTGGTTTTTGACTCTGAGAATTTCCTTAGTTTTTAGCCAGTTCAGATACAATTAAAATTATTTTTTCAAATTGTATTTAGCATTTTCCATGTCCTGTGCTGGGAAGACTCTCCAAATAGCTGGTCAGCCCTATTTCCCACGTCACTGGGGAAGATGCTCCATCTCCAATGAAAGGCAGGCCGTAAGGCTGCCGGGGCCGCCACTACCAATAACATTAACAATATCATTAACGTACCACCACGGCCATCTCATCGTATGGAAGGAAAGGTTAGCAGTTCCCCATTATCCACAGTCTTCCTTCATCCAGACATTCCAGGTTCTCCACCTCACTGCCCACTTCTCCCCAGTCTGAACCTTCCTTGCCCATCTGCTCTATCTTTTTTATCTGTTTTGCTCTCTCCCATGTGCATATTCAATTAATTAAACATTTTCTGGGTGTTAACCACCTGCCAGTATTACGCCAGGGACCAGGGACACAATATGAAGAAGGTGTGGGCTCCACATCTGAGGACTCATCGAGGGGAGACAGACAGGTGAGCAGGTCCATCACAGTGCTAACCACCAGCTCTGTAAGGTGGAGGGGGTGGGTGGGAGGGGGTCAGAAAGGGGAACAAAGGGCCAGATTGTGAAGGTCCAGGTATGTCATGTCACATAATTTGGTTTACGTTATTGAATCAGAAGAATCATAATCAGATATCTGTTTTTGAAAAAGAGCACAGGAAAATGAGGCCAGAGGCAGGAAAATTTAATTTGTTTAAGAGTTCAGCTGAGGATCTGAACTCTGGCCCGGGTCTCTTCCTTCCCTGAACTTATTATTACCAGGCGTTTTAGGAATGAGAAGCTGCCTTATACTGTACCCCTTAAATAGATCTCTGTTACAGTTCCCCTCACACTGTCTAGAAATGGTTGATTTCCTTATTTTTCTTCCCCACAGAGACCACACCCTATCGGTCCCTACATAACCACACTGAGCATAATTCCCAGTACCTAGGACATAGTCACTACATCTGCATTGAGTGAACAAGTATATTATCTTCATTTTAGGTGTTACCCACTCAACCAGATAAAAATCCTTGAAAACAAGAACATCGTGCTCATCCTTCTTTGATGTCGCCTAGCACAGTGACAACCACACAGCAGATTCTCAATTCGTGGCCAATGCATTAAATAGAACTGGAAAGTCCCCCGGGGGTCAGGTTTTACCATTCTCACCCTCACTTTCCAGAATCAAGGTTAAAGGACAGGAAGAACTGACTGAGAACGTCACCGATTTCCGGGCAAATCCCCAGCACTCACACCCCAGGAATAAGAACAACTTTCCCCAGGAGTCATCCGGATAATACCTCGCCAATGGCTGTGATCCTGGTGAGGCAGCTCCTCATGGCCGTGCTGTCGGCATTCTCGAGGGTTCCTTCTTCCTCCAGGAAAGCCAGATAGAGGAGGGTCTCCCTGCCATACTGCTTACAGGCCTCGGTCAGTGCTGCAGAGGCAAGGCGACAGAGAATTTGAAAGACCCCCGACTCCCTGTGCCTTCCCAGCGGCCCCTCTCCCTGGCACTCACAGTCAGCAGGCTCTGGCGGGGCTCTCAGGCAGGTGGTGCTGCCGTGAACAATGGTGTCACTGGTCAAGTGGGCCAGGAGGGTGACCGAGTGGAGGAGCCCACTGATATCTGCTAGGAGTTTAAAGGAAAGTTTCTCAGTCCTGCTGGAGGGGTGTCACTTTCATATTCCTCCCTCCCCACTTTGCAAACTATACACACACACACACACACACACACACACACAATTCTTGGTACACAGGGACCCACTGCCACTGCCATGCTCCAGCGTTTCTGAACCCTGCCCAGCTGTCGCTAGTGACAGACCCTACCCTTTGCATCTCTTACCTTCCGGGCAGGCCAGATACTGGCTCCAGCTTTTTTCCAGTTGCTCAATGCAGCTGGAAACGGACCTGACCTTGGAGAGTAGGTGATCTGTGAGAGGGAAGACAGGGCCAGGTCAGTTGTCACAACTCAATTCATCCCCATTAATTAAGCTGCTTGATGGATGACCTTTCCAGTGAGGGGCCCAGCCCTGCAGGAGCTGCCCTCGGAGGGAGGGAGAAGAGATCGTTGGCTTCGATGGTACATGATTCTCTTACTGTAGCTTCAAAAGCTCTGCTTCTGAGCTTATCTGGTCCTTCAGCAAAGAACCATGGCAACTGCATCAGTGCCTAGCTTCTGCCAAGAATATCCCATCACTGTCCACTGAATCAAACCCAGCCTTCCTGTCTTTCAAGGCCTTGGATTCTCATCACTCTTGAGCTCAGACCCCTGGCTCCATGTGGCTAATCTACAGGCATGCTCTGCCCACAACACAGTCGTCCCCTCTGCCCTGCCTCTGTGCACAGGTCCATGGAGACTGCATCGCAAAGGATGGGCTCGCAGGTCCCACTGCACAGGTGCTGTAGATCCTGGCTCCATCACTGCTGGCTGTGTTCTCAGGCCATCTGTGCTTGCTTCCTCAGCCAAAAAAGGAGGAATAATAGTAGCACCTCCCGGCATCACAGTGAGCATTTGCTGGGCAAAGGCTCAGAAAGCGCTTAGACTAGCCCCCGGCACAAAGCAAGCACTCGGTAAACCTCAGTTGTTTTTTTCATTCTTATTCTCCACCTTTCTCCCTCTTCCTGGCTTCATGTCTCTCCTCTTCCTACAAAATCACAGCTCACACCATCTCTTGCAGCATCCGCCCACAGCTGGCCCATGTCCTGGCATTCCCTCAGTAGACAAGGTACCCAGTGTGCTCCACCATTCGTAACGGTTTGGTTTCCTTAGAGATGGGTTCCCTGCTGAATAAAATACCATCGTCCTTCCTGAATACTTCACCAAACTGAGGCCTTTCTAGTTGATAATAAAAATCAGCTGGGGCTGTTTCCTCCCGTCCGCCTTGTCCTCCATAGGACAAGGGACTTTGCCAACACACCCCTTTCTGCTTGAAAATGAGCTATAATGGGATCTGTTCGTGGCTGTGCCCACGACTTCACAAGTCCCCCTGGCCTGGGTGCTCTCACATCTCCTGGGTGCCAAGGCCCTCCCCTCACCCAGAGGGCTCCTCTGACTCTACCACAAGCCCAGAGGAGTCTGGTCTGGAGAATGGGCCCCTGCTCGTGCCCGTGACTCTGTGCGGGCTTTACTGCCTCTGCCCCACCAGGCTTAATGAAGATGCCTCCCTATTCAGACTTGAAGCTCCTGGCAGCCATGTCTTGACTCAGACCATACTGTTCTCCTTAGAGACACACAGGACTGTCTGTTCCTCCTCCCCCTGGCATTTAGAACTGTTATCAGAGCTCAGCTCCCAGCATGTGTTTCACCTGTGTGACCCAAGACTAAAGCAGTAATCACACCTGGTGGGGGCGGGGGGCACAGGGGCGCTTAGAAAATCCCACAGCCCAGGCCCCGTGGCACAGAGCTGCCAACTGAACTGGTCTCAGGGTGGGGCCTGGGCAGCCGCAGGAGACCCTGACATGCAGCTGGGTGCGGAACCCCTGAGCTCGGGGTCTCCCGGACTCAACGCCAGCTGGACAGCATCAGGCTGCAAGGATTCAGCGCCTGCAAGCCGGGCAAGGGGAAGGGCACCTGCAGATCCGGCGCAGCTGAAGAGAGAGGGCTCATCGAACTGCCGCAGGGCCTCTTGTACCACCTGCTCCGCAGCCCTCCTGGACTCCGTCAGAAGCATTTTTCGTTGGTCCTTGGCCAGCTGGCATATAGATTCCTAGAGATGGTCCAGGGAGGTGAGAGTCTGCCACAGACCCTGGAGCGAGCCTCCGGGCAGCACCCACCTGTGACGCAGTGGGATTCGCGGCACCTTAGCTCAGGCTATTGCTGATGAGGCCCAAGCCCCTTATCTCCGTCCCTAGGTGTGTCTCACCGAGCCCAAGAGGCCATGGGGAGGGACCACTGCATCATCATCCACCCTTGGGGGAGAGTGCCAGCGGCATCCCTTAGCATGTGGGAAAGAGAGGGTTCTGCCTTCCTTCATCTGCCCTGCGGGTGGGCAGGCCATGCTGGCGTTAGGAGCTGTGCCCGCAGAATATCTGCCTTCACAGTTCAGCCGAAGGCCCCCAACCCCTTTCCCAGCCCCCCTGCCTCCAAGAATATATCTCCAAGGCCCGTGGGTGTGAGATGGGCTTGGTCAGCCCCCGGGGTGGGTGCGCTACATGCCTGTGCGCTGGACAGTTGGCGCTGCGTGTATTCCAGCTGCTCCCGGAGAGCAGACAGTTCCTCCTCTCGACGAGCCACGGCGTTCACCAGGCTGCCCCGCTCCTTCTCCAGTTCGGCTATCTGCGCTGTCCACTTCGCTTCTGACTGCGATGGTGACCAAGTGGGAAGAGGGAGTCACTGGGAGAATTAAACTGTCCCCTTCTCGAAAGTCCAAATCCCCCACCAGGCCACACAGGATCTGCCGCTTTCACTTCCGAGTACGCTCTGGTCCCCAGTGGGACCAGCTTGGCCACGTGCTGGTGGTGATGGATGACAGTTGGCAGCAATCTTTAAGCTAGAGGAGAAAAGAATAAGCAAGGGAAAGAAAGGGGATGCTCACCTGAGCAGAACTTTCCAGGCTGCCTTGGACAATCTGGAGTTCCTGTTTGCTGGTGGCAAGTTCTTGCTTCAAGCTCTCTAGTACTTCCGTCTGTTCCTGAGTCTGAAAGAGAAAAAAGACAGGAGCATTCTGATCTGGGTGGTGGTTATATGGGATAAACAGGTGTAAAAATCCCCAAGCTATAAATGTGAGATTTGTATGCTCTTTTATATAGAAGCCGGTTTTACCTTGACCAAAAAAGCAGAGGGAAGATGAGAGTGTGGAATGTAATAAAAATTTTTCTTCCAGCGACGGGAAATGTCAAGGGGGCAGTTTTAGGGCCATTTCCCAAATGTCATGCTTGAGATGGTAATACTAATAAGAGTAGAAATGGGTCTTTAATTCAGGTGTCCCAGCACCTGGTAGGTATATTGCTGGATCAGCCCATCTCACTGTCTTCAAATGATTCCCTTTCTTTGGTTTCTAAGTTGTGTTTTTCAAAGAGTGGGTTGTGAACCATGAGTAAGAATTCACAGCTAACATTTTAAAAACTGCAATAAACAGAACAAAAAAATCTGCATGCAATCACGTAATAAGGATAAGTATTGTTCTGTGGAACTCTGATTTTCATCAGATGATAGATGGATTTGTTACTCTGGGTCACAGAAAAGCACGAGAACCACTGCCGGAAGTGTAAAGCATTCTGTTTAATCCACCTGACACCTCTTACTCCAACCGGACCTGCCCCAACTCAGGGGAGTTCTCCCCATGGCAAGTCTCTGTAAATGCCGTTCCTCTCGCTCTGACATCCATGTGCTTCCACCTCAGTCTCGCTTCCAGACTCGCGCTTGGGAAGCCTTTGCTGATGAGCCCCACTCAACCCGGGTCCCTTCATTCCTTCATGCCTCTAACCCATCATGCGTTGGTAACCATGTCCTGTCCCATATCCCACACACCTGTGCGTGGAGCAGAAGACAAGGTCTCACAATCTGTGCAGCGCTCAAGGCCCGCCTCCGTCGCAGACAGTCCGTCGCAGACAGACCCCCGCCTTGTTTCCCACCTACATCTCCTTCCGCTCACCTTCCGCTGCGCCTGGTCGCTTATCCGCTGGAAAGAATCCTCTAGCTCTTTTTTCTCTCGTTCCAAATCCGCCTGGGCTTGTCTGGCCACAGACACCTGTTTGGTCACCTCTGCATTCTGTAAGAGAATAACAGGGTCTTGAACTGGCTTATCTTCAGCTTGAAGGCCATCTTCCTTCCAGAACAAATGATGGCATTCAGACCAGGAGTGCTGTCAGACACAGACGTCACCTTCCCCACCAGAGGGACGCCAGAATGAAGCTGTCACCGTGCTCAACACTCAAGCATTTGCAAAGATGATGAAGATGGGGGATAACACAAGTGAGGCCGGCCCCACAGGTTCAAGGGATTCGAGGGGCTAGGGAGCTGTGGTTTCCAAGAAATGGTAGGGGCACTGGCCCTGGAGGAGCCAAGCGGCCCGAGTCTCCCTGGCGGAGAGGGGCCTGTGCAGGCCGGGGACGGGGTCGGGGAGGGCCCCACCTTCCGCAGCAGGTCGGCGTGGCTCTGCACCAGCTCGCTGTACTTCTCCTTGAGCTTGCTGTAGCGCTGTTCGTTGGCTTGGGCTTTCCCTGTGTCGTCAAGGACCAAGGTGAGGGGTCTACACGGGCTGGGTCCCTCTGTCCTCCCTCCAATAAGCCACATCTTCCTTCCTTTTCACAAACATATACACCTCTTTCTGCCTCAAAAATCCTACTTAAACTCCTCTGGGACGTCTTTCATGAGTTCACCTGATTCACATTCCTCCACCGATTCACGCCTCGCGAGCATTCACACACTCGCATTTATTCTACTGGTGTTTGCAGCTTTTATGCCACGATTTTTCTGAAGCTCTCTCTTGTGTCATCCTCGGTGTCCTCTGCACACTTGGCAGGGCCGCACACGGGGCTCTCTCCCTGACGACCTGCACTCCACCCTTCCGACGGGCGACCGGAGCTGGCATCCCTCCCACACATCGTCAGCCTTCATCCCGGGTCCCCGCCGGCCCTGCGCTCCCGGCCCCACCCTCACGCCCACCCCGACAGCCTCTCACGCTCTATCTCCGTCAGACTCCGCTGCGCCTTCTCCGTGTCCTCTCGCTTCTTCTTGAGCTCGTCCAGCTCGGTCCGGAGGAACTCGCTCTCGTCGGCCGCCTGCTGCCGCAGGTGCTGCTGCTCCGCCAGCTCGGCCTCCAGCTCGCTGATGCGGCCCTTCAGCTGCAGCACCGCGCGCTGGCTCTGCGGGAGGGGCCCGGTGATGCGCGCTGGGCGGGAGGCCGGTCCTGCCGTCCACGTTACCAGCACCAAGCCAACACCTAGGTTTTCCTAATGAGCCCACGCCCAAGGCCTCGTGAGAGTGGAGCCTTCCGGTCACTATGAAAACAGGAGCAGGACCCTAGGGGCACTTCCCAGGACAGATTCCCCACCCCCACCATGTTCTCTGCCTGCCTCTTGTCTGTAGAAAAACTTTAGTCAAAGAATAAGTTTAATCAGAGAAATAAGAAAACACACAAAGGAAATAGTCAAGCAAAATAAAATAATAAGTTTAGTCATTAAACAAAGTCAAGGACCCTTAGCTCCTCCTCAAGGGCTATAGATAATATTCTGAGCCATGTCCTTTGGGATGTCTGGTGGATGCTGCAGCCCCCACCACGTGGAAGAAGTTAACTACTGTCATGCCCAGACTGTAGCCATGACATAAGCTGCCACCATTCCGAGAACTGGCCCCAAAGAAATGGGAACACACCGACCCTGAAACCCAAGATAAACTGTACTTAAAATAATCAAGGTGATACTGATCTGACCACCAAATGACTAACTTCAAGATGACTGTCAGAGCTGACTGGCTGTTCTGCATGTAGCCCCCTCCTCCCCACCTATACACCCCTGAAACTCCACTTTAAAAGCTCTTGCCCGCTGATCGGCGGAGAGGGTGTCGGGAGGATTGGCCTTTGGACAGGAGTCTGCCCCTCCCCCTGTCCTGATGCCAGCCTCTGGAATAAAGCAAACTTTCCTTTCTACCAACAAGTGCCTCTCTTGGTTTTGGCTATCAAGCGGCCAGTAGCTAGACCTGCCTTTCAGTAACAACTACAAGCTACTCAACCAACAACAACAGGGGCTGACAGCAGGGGAACTCTGGTCCTGGGAGCAGTGATGGAGTGCTGGAATGAGGAAGGAGAGGCCGTTTGCCTGACCCAGGATAAAGCCGCAGACCAGCTGCAGGTCGGCACCAGACCCTGCAGACAGCCGTCACAGCTATACATCAAACCTTCTCATCGCCAAGTGAGAACAGGTTTCTCCCCCAACAACTTCATGCCCAGCTGGTGACCACGGACCACGGTTATCTCCAAGTATGACAGGGACCTGGAGCTTGGCTTCAGTGCAATTGAGACCATGGGATGACCTATTCCTTCCAGCTTTGGCATTTCTACTAATGAACCCCCCTTAAGATGTGGCCCAACCAGGATCAGCGTGAAGCAAATTTCATACTAAAAGCTGTCATGTTATGGTGAAGCCCAGAGGCAAATCAGAGCCCAGCCCATACCTCAGTCTTCATGTTTTCCAGCTGTGCTTTCAGCCCGTTGATCTCTCTGTACAGTTGATCAATTAAGTGATCCCTGGGAACAGAAGGGGAGCAAGTTTGCTTCTACCGTGTTCCTACCCTTTCCTTTCAAATGTGAGCTGGGAGGCTGGGGTGGAGGTTAAAAGCTGGTGTTAATTTGGGAACAATTCTTTGAAATTGTTATACTCTAAGAATACCATCTGTGTTTCCAAATGCTAATCTAACACCCACAGGTCCACAGGTATTTCAACCTCATTTGATTATCCTCTGGGATTTTGAAGGGGCCAGTATTTGAGGGTCAAGACATTTATCTAAGAAGCCTAAGTATCGTCAAGGATTCCTCTTTGGTCGGGTGTGGCAAGTGAGATCATGGCTTAGCTGCTGCACCATCTGCTCTCACTGTGCAGCCTGGACTCACTTCTCGTCCTTGTTCACGCCGTTCTGACTGTTGAAATTGAAGGGGTCGCTGCTGGAGGAGCTGCCAAAGATGTCATCAAACTTGCTGTCGAATGAATTCTGCAGCGACCAGAAAGGAGTGAGGACAAGGTTAGAGACCCAGAGAGGTGTGTGTGGGTCACACCAGCAACACATGGGAACAGATGCTTTCTTGGTCTGATTCAAATCCATTTATGGTCCCCACTAGGGACCGCGGGGCTAGGTCAGCGCTTGAGTTAGAAGGGAGCTGAATTTGGCCAGAGCCCTCCCCACCCTCCCCGCCGCTACATCGTGGGGCAATGGGAAGCGCTGAGCATCTTCCCAAGTGTCCTCACCTGCTGGGAGGCATCCATGTCCATGAGGTCATCCTTCTCCAAGACTGGCTCGCTGTCGGGGGACGAGGCCTCGGCTGGGATGACTACCACGGGGCTGATGTGCTCTGACAGGGCGGAGGCTCGTAGGAAATTGGGCGGGTTCTGGAGAGGGAAGACGCATCCTCAAAGCCTGCTGGCCTGCCAGCCTCTCAGACAGCCCCCTGGACTCGGCAGCTCCCCGGGTGTGGCCGGGCCCGCTTACCTCTGGCAGCTGAGGGATCTGGATCAGCCTCTTGAAATACTGAAGGTTACTGGAGCGGTAGAACAGATCTTTCAACCTACGGGTGGAGAAAGGCCTGAGGGGTGCTGGGGGCCTTCACCAGCCCCGGGGAGGTGACACCCCGCTTTCCTACTGCCTGCCCAGCCCCAGGGCACTGGCTGCCAAGGAGATGGTCTCCATGGTGCTAGGGAGCAATTATGATGCTGCAGGGCTAGAGTATTTCTAGCCAGTCCCCCCTGAGCTGGTGGTGAGGAAAGAGTAACTCAAACTACAAAATCCTCTGGAAGAGTAGATGATCCAACAACTACTGTCTGCATCACTGTAGAATATATACTGTTGTTTAATAGATGTGGCTTCCTAAGAAGGTTTGGCTGAGAGTAACATTAAAATAAATTTCTCTGAGGATACGGGGGGAGGGGGGGTATAGCTCAGTGGTAGAGCACATACTTAGCATGCATGAGGTCCTGGGCTCAATCCCTGGTACCACCATTAAAAATAAATACATCTAATTACCTCCCCCCACAAAAATTTTTTTAAAATATTTCCCTGAGGATAAACCAACTAACCATATGAAGAGGGAAGGGAAAATAATTACTAAGGTAGATCTCTTTTTAATGAATTCCCCTTGTTTTAGAGCTATTTGTTATTTCCCCAACTAGACTATAAGCTTCTAGAAGGCAGAAGCTGGGTTTACCACAGGAGCAGGCACGGGAGTTACTTAGCAAGTCTTGGTTGGAGAAGAATGATTTATATTGTGTCTTCAACTTGGATGCATGTAGGATTGAAGAAACCCAATTTTTTTTCTCACCCTCAAGTTTCCATTTTGAATCTGACTGGAAAGTCAAGACAGCTGAGAGCATCAGACATATTTCCTGAGATGAGAAAGGGGCAGGGATCTCAGCACCCTCTCTCTGCAGCACAGAATTTTCTCCAGCTCAGCCCAATACACGAAAGCCCTGGGGTCTCATGACAGCCCTTCAGACTCCAGGGTTAGGACCATCCCTGTGACATCACTGCTGCTTTCCCTGAATTCAGGGGCACTGAGGCCTCAGCTGCCATGTCTGTGGAAGAGAAAGTGAGGCGGCCACTCACGGGAGATGCTTTCCTAAGCTTGAAAAAAACCGAAGGGAAATGGAATCACCTGACCACACGTCCCCTGTTTTCTGGGCTGAAGCCAATGGTAATAGGCCCCACTGCTTTCCTAAGCTACTGGAATTTAACATTCCAGGAAATCAGCCCCAGGGCCTGTCTCCTAGGATTTAATAAGTCATTTATTACAGAATAAACATAAGAGGCTTTTCAAATGGAACAAGGAAACTGGGAGGTTAGCACAACCCTGAACTTGTGCTTGGGAACCAGCAAGAAAAGCCTCAGCTTGGGGTCTGGGAGCCATGCTTTTCCTGCAGTCAAGGATGAAGCAATTAACAGGAAAAACAACCACATCATGCTAGTGCCCTTCCCGGCTCCCTCAGGCCTCCTGCCTCTCCCTCTCTTCCGTCCCCCCTTCTTGGGCACACTTCACTGAAAGATGAGCTGTATGTCTCACTGAGTCACTGGTTTTCTTTCCCAAATACATCAGAATGATTTACCCCACCGTCAGACAAGCTCTTCCTCTTTTGGACCAGAAAGCTGGCCGATTGGCTCATGAATGCATTCAAATACTGAATGAACACTATAGTCTTAACCAACGCTATCTATCAGGTACTGGGGATATAACAGGCAAGACAGTCAAAAAGAAATAAAGCCATGCTAAGAACTAGGAAGGAAATAAACAGGGTGCTGTGGTAGAGGATACAGACATGGATGGGGTGGAGGTGGAGGAACAGGAGACAGGGAAAACAAGAGCCCACTGAAATCAGGTCACCAGAGACTGTCTTTGTGTGGAGGTGACTGAAGATGACCTGGAGCTGGCCAGGCTGGGAGAGGAGCATCCAAAGGAGAAGGAACAGCAAGCGCTAAGCCTCTGAGCACTGGATACGTTCCAGGATCTGGAAGAGGACCCCATGTGGTTGAAACACTGGAGATAAGGTCAGAGATGGCAGGCAGGGGCCAGATCACACAGGGGCCTTGGAGACCGTGGAGATGAGCTTGGATTTTATTCTCAGTGTAATCAAAGGCCATTGAAAGGTTTTGAGCAAGGGATTTATGTTTTCACAAGGTCGTTCTAACTGCTGGGTGAAGATGGGATTGCAGGGGGCAGGAGTGGAAATCCAGAGCATCTCATCCCTATAGGAGGGTCCTGGTGACAGCAATGGAAGCTGAAGAGATGGGAGATATGACTGGAGCCAAGATACATTGTCAAGCATCACCTGAACCTGCTAACGAATTGGACACGGGGAATGAGGGAAATGGCGAGCTCCAGATCTTTGTCCTAAGTGGATGGTGGGCAATATTTATTGAGATAGAAAACACAGGGGAAATAAAATAATGCCATTTACAGCAACTTGGATGGACCTGGAGATTGCCATGCTAAGTGAAGTGAGCCAGAAAGAGAAAGAAAAATGCCATATGATATCGCTTATATGTGGAATCTAAATAAAAGGACACAAATGAACTTATCTACAAAACAGAAACAGACTCACAGACATAAAGAACAAACTTACAGATCCTGGGGGGGAAGGGGGTGGGAAGGGATATATTGGAAGTTCGAAATTTGCACCCCCTGGGGGAGTGATGGAAATGCTGGCTATCTTGACTGCGGTGGTGGTTCCTTAGGTGTGTACATCTATCAGAATTCATCAAACTGTACATCTGAAGTACGTGTAGTTTACTGTACAGGAATCATACCACAGTAAAGGTGTTTAGGGGAAAAAAGGGGAGAAAAGGCTTTTGGAGGGAAACCTAGAGTTCAGTTTGAGATGTAAGTCTGCTGTAGAGATGCCCAGTAGACAACTGGGTATGTCGGCCTGGAGCTCAGAGGTAAGGCTCGTCAGGAGATACAGATTTGGGAGCCGTCAGTGTGTCGATGGTGTAAGACCATGAGAACTCAGGGAGAAGAAAAAGAGAAGAGGGGGAAGCCCTGGGCGTGAAGCAGGTGACCAGTGAGTGAATGAAATCGCCTTCTTCTGTGAGGTTCGCCAGCGTCCCAGCCGTGGGCATGTTAGCCACCGTCCTAGTTTTTTTCTTTCGCTTGAATGTTTTAAAATGCAGATCCTCTCAGCGACGATTTTAAAGCAAGTACTCTTGCATGGATTAATTGATTTCACAGCACTTTTAGATTCACCTTCTTACAACTCAAGCCACTTACTTTGTGAACTGCTCCATGAAGCGGTCCCGGTGGCCTTGCAGGGTGTCAGCTGGGAGACCTGGAAGAAATTGGAAAGGAGTGAGGGAAAAGGAGGACCAGCAGGCAAGCAAGCCACAGCAGGGGTCGGGGGGGGGAGGGGACCACCCATCCTGGGGCCGGTGGCCAGCCCTGCGGGAAGGCATTCCTGGCCTAGAGTTGCCCTGGGGCTGGTAACCAAGAGGGCCCAGTGGGACCAGAAGGGAGTCTGGGTGTGCTTGTCAGCCAAAACTTCCCTTCTGTTTGTCCTGGAGCATGAGCCACTCTGGGCACAGCAGGCTGGAAGTCATGTCCCTGATCCCAGAAGCAGAAGCAGCAGGAGTGACCTGACCAAGCAGCAGGATGAACCATGGAAGGCCCGGGGGGTGGGGCGGGGGGCTCTCTCCCAGGGGTTGTGTGCATTGGGAGTGCTGGTTGAGGCCCAGCCCAGACATGAGTCTGGAAGAGCAGATGCCTGTCAGAAGGCAGAGACCGCAAGACTGAGACCCGGGGGATCTAGCCCAGCGCCTGCTTGGTCATTGCTGACTCTGTGATGCTGGACAAGCAGCAGCCTCTAGGGCCAGCCTCCTCCGCTACAGAGTGGGGACCATTCACTTCCGGGATTGTGTGATTCTGTGTATTTCAGCTACAGATCACAGCTCAGCGATCCTTTAATTTTTAAATTTTAATTTTAGTAATTTTTGAATACATGATACAGTCATTTAGTATAAACAGGGAGTACACATATAAGGTACGATCATTAACAATAGTGAAAGTGTACGGTGATGACAATGGCACTTTCCCTCCGTGATCTTTCTCCCAAGAATCCTTAACCCCAGTCCTGGCGTCAGAAAAAAACTGGACAAACCCAAATGAGGGACATTCTACAAGATACCTTGACCAAGACTCCTTAACACTGTCAAGGTCACTTGTAATAACCTATAATGGAAAAGAGTCTGAAAAAGAATATATACGTATGTATATATAACTGAATCACTTTGCTGTACACATGAAACACTGTAAAACAACTAGCACTTCAATTAAAAAAAAACATCAAGGTCATCAAAGACAAGGCAAGTCCAAGAAACTCTCACAGCCAAGAGGAGCCTAAAGCGACATGACAATTGACTGCAATGTGGAGACCTTGATGGGATCCCGGGACAGAAAAAGACCATTAGGTAAAAACTGGAAATCTGAATAAGAGTATGGACTTCAGGTAATAATACTGTATCACAATTGGTTCATTAATAATAATGTATCAACATTATGACATCATGTGACAAATGTGTTAACATAAGATGTAAACGATGGGGAAAGTGGGTTCAGGGGGATATGGGAACCGTCTGAACTATCTTTGCAACTTTTCTAGACCTCAAACTATTCTAAAAGAAAATGGGTTTATTTTTGGAAAAGTACATACTGTACGGAGTGTCCCGTTATCCCTGGCCACAGTTCCCCTGCCCAGAGGCAATCAGTGAGCGTCCTGTGCACTGCTCTGCCTTTAAAGAAGGCCTTTCAACTCGAATACTTTAATTGCCTGTCTCTTATCACAACTCATCACTTTCTAGAAGGAAGTGGGGATGTTCTAGTGGGCAACTGGGTTCTGCAGCATCTTAGAAACAATAAGTTGATCGGCATTTGGAGCTTCTATGCAACTGCCTGCTTTCTTTTCTTGGGACTTGGTCCCCCTCTCTGCTTCCCTCAGGCATCTGCTCTGAAGCCCTTCTAACCCTTGTACCCTTCCTCCCACAAAACCCTCCCAGATTAATGACACTGATGTTGCATCCGTTGTTCTGTCTAAATAACCAGATCTACTCCTTGCTGTTGACCACTTCCGAAGTATCCCCTGTCCTAGACTTCTAAAATAAAACTTTGCTTCTATCCATCTGTGTCTTGATTTGTCTTGGTTTTCCATCAGCCACACACTCTGCACCTGTATACCCTTCATGGTGGCCACCTCAGAGTGTGGCCCAGGGACCGTGCCCACCAGATTCATCTGGGATATGGCTTCACTGTGCAGACCCCATGGGAGCAGGACCCCACACATCACTTGAAACAAGAAGCACATGAATGGAGAAGAACTTCTGCAAGACGAGTAGTTTCCATAATACATTCCGTGAAAGCATCCCAGGGATCTGTGGCTACGGAAGGGATGGCCCTCCATTTACTTGAGTGGCTGTTTTACATTTTATATTTCTCTCCAAAAATCTCATCTGTACAAAGAGCTCATGTTGATGAACTCTTTAGAAACCATTCTCTTTGCTCCTGGGGTCGGGTCTGTTCTCATTTGTGTGGTTTGTACAGTGAGACATGGATGGAGATGTCACAAAGTTAGAGGCGGAGGACGAGGACCATCCTGGGACACGGCTACGGCAAGCCAGGTGCTTCCCCGAGCACACCAGAGCTTGGCCCTGCTCCTCCAGTCTCAAGACGGCTGGGAGCTCTGGGGCCCTTTGGAACAGAAGCCGAAAGCCAAGGGCACTGGGAGGGGGAGCTGCATCTCTCCAGGGTCAGCCCAGGCTGTGATCCTTCTTCTGGTCAGAAGTTCACAGAGATCAGGCCCGGTGTACTCACAGGAGTGGAGTTTGAAGAGAAGCTTGACAGTGTAATCATAGAGGTGGCTGCAGTCCAAGATGACCTGGATCAGCGGGGCAAGGCGGCACTGCCCAGCTGTCGTCACGGACACGGAGCGGGACATGTCCAGGGAGTTGAACACTAGGGAACAAAAGTCGGGGAGAGGCCACAGAGCGAGGAAATCAGAGGGGCAAAAGGCACGAGTCCAACACACCAAGGACCGCTTCTGGGCATACACCAACTATGTCATGCATTTAACCCTTACAACACTCCTCTGGGGTAGCTAAAAGTATCCCCACCGTACAGGAAACTGAAGGTACGTAGCCTGAAGGTCATCACAAAGCCAAGTGGTTTTGCTGAAAAGTAGTGAGTTAAAAGCCAGAGCCTGCATGGCCGGTAATGGCTAGACCAGGAGCCCGTGTCCCTGACAGCTGAGATGCTCTGTGTGTTGTGAGCAGGCGAACTCACTCTACTCTGTGCACGGCCCGGTGGGAGCCCAGGAAGGAAGAGATCTGCTTGAGCCTGGGGGAGCACCCAGAATGCCTTCTTCTGTCTGAGGAGCCTCAGGGTCCCTGCCCCATGTCCGAGCAGAAAGAGCACATCCTCTTTCAGGTTTCTGACTCAGGGGGGAAATGGGTTCTTGTTCAAGAGAAGCCCTCAGTTTTATGAGGAATCAGAAGTTCAGAATCTAAAGGGGCTGCCGAAATAGCCAATCCAGCCCTTCCTCCCTCGCGTGAAGTTAGTCTAATAGTGATCTTGACCCTGAGAAGCACCCAACCTGCCGGTGCAATAGAAAACATCAGTCAGAGCAGGAAGAAGGGAATAATGCCACCTTGGCTTCCGAATGGTTGTTACAGGGTTCTCAGGATACCAGAGTGGGGGATGTGCAGGAGCCCTGGGTGGACAATCAGAGAGCCTGTGAGGACCCAGGACAAGGAGCTGGGAGGAGGATGAACCATCAGGATCAAGGCTGATGGAAGTCCTTGGGGGAGTCGGTCAAAAGAAATACTGCCCTCTACTCTCCCTGGCTCCAGAGAGCAAGATGCTCCCTGTGTCTTATGCCAGAGACCACTCCACCTAACCCTGCCTGCCCCTTGTCCCTTGCTCCTAAACCAAGCAACTAGCTGCCTGGCCGTGGACACTGGCCAGGGCTGACTTCCTGCAGCGGCTGCCCACCACCTCCGGAGACTCCACACACATGACTGGCAGCGAAAGGCTTCCCCTGCAGTCCCCCAGTGAGCGGGACTGCCCCGGAGGAAAGCCCACAGCCACTGTGTTCGGCCTTCCCTGATGGCACTAATCCCTGTTAACTGGCTTAGTCTGGCAGCTGGAAAAAAAAAATCCCAAACGGTCCTAATTAAAAGGTAGCTTTTCTTTTTGACACAAATTAAAAGCAGCTGTCACTGCAAGGCATCCATCCCAAGTCTACTGGTTTCCTTAGGCTCCACTCTGCCAAGGAAACCCAGGTGGCTCCATCTCCCAGCCTGCCTGCTGCTTTCCAGGAATGCCCCTTGGCATCTGGTAACATCTAGAGCGGTGTGACCATGGGCAAGTTACTCAACCTCTCTGTGCCTCCCGATGCTTTTCTGTAAGATGCAGATGGTTTTAACAACACATACCTCATAAGGGTCTCGTAAGGAGGACTCATAAGGATTGACAAATGAGAATGTTGGGTAAAGTGCATGGCATCGTGTAGCACTTTTCAGCTTTGGCTTTGAATCACCTGTGGAAATTTAAAAACCACTCATGTCTGCCTACAACTACCCCCCTACCATTCTCTTTTAATTGGTCTGGGGTAGGGTTAGGGCATCAGTAGTTTTCAAAAGTCCCCTAGGTGATTCTAATATGCAGCCAGGTTTGAAAATGTATTTTCTAGCTCAGTGGATCTCAAACTGTTGCATGCATCAGAATCCCCTGGTAGAACTGCTCCAATAGAACTGCGGTGCTGGAAGTCTTATGTATGTGCACTGTGCTAGCCCACGTGTGGCTGCTGAGTGCTTGAAACACGGCTAGAACCACTGAGGGCCTGACTTTTGAATGCTATTTAACTGAGATGGATTTAAATAGTCATATGCAGCTGGTGGCTGCCATATTGGACAGTGTCGACTTGGGGAGTTAGTTAAAACAGATGACTGGGCCCCACCCCCAGAGATTCTAATTCAGAAGTTTTAGGGTGTGGAACCTAGCAAGCCAGCTGGGAGAATGTGCTGCATAGATGAACACGCCGAAGGAAGCTACAATTGAGGGGGAGAGAATTTCTGTATTTCCTGAGAGAATCAAAGCCCCAAGAGTGGGCCATCCACGTCCCAGGGCCCAGAAGGTGGCCAAGCTTGCACACAAGTCCTTGCAGCTTGGACACACTCTTTCATGGGGTTGGATGCTTGTCAGTAAGCGTCCTGAATCTTTGAAAACTGGCTCTCCCGTTCCCTAGGGAGGATGGGGAGCTGTGCTGGGATGGGTGGGGAAGAGAGGACACTAGAGAGGAGGGAACCAGCCACTTCCCTCCCGAGTCCCGTGAGGGGAGTGCCAGGGGCTGACGGCCTGGACACACCAGAACTCTCAGGAGGAGGGCGCCCGGAAGTGTGGCCAACTCCCCTAAGGGAAGCAGGGCTTCGTGGGCTCCTCTTGTGTGCCAGGGCCACAGTCCGGAGGTTGTCGGAGAGGCCGGCCCTGTCTTTGGGCTTAGCTGGGAGACCAGCAGCGTAGGGAGCGTGGTCTTTCTGCTCAGATGTGAAATCACTTTAAAAATACTCCCGGGCTTCAGGCCCACCCTGCACGAGAGCCAAGAGAAAGGTGTGGGGTGCTCTATCTTCCCGGCCCTGTGCTGCCCACCTCATGCAGAGACGGGGGCCAGGCCAGGTGGTCGAAGCAGGGAACAAGGCTGGGAGTTCAGTGATTCCCAGGAGAGCCTGGGCCAGATGCGAGGGGGAGACTTACCAGTTTGGAAGAGGTTAAGTTCACACTCCAGGTAGTCAAACATCTCCACTGTCAGCTGAAAACTGGGCCCGAGGGGAGAGAGAGCTTATACTCCACAGCCCGAGGCTAGCGCTTCACCTGTCCCCTCCCCGACGCCCTGTGCTGCTGCCTCCGCCCCCGATGTACACGGGCAAAGGTGCATGCATATACACACACACACACACACCAGCTCCAATTCTTAGCCCCCACCTAAGTGGGTACTAAGGCCATTTGAAGATCAAGGAGGGCAAATTAGACAGTGGCAGCCACAAAGGGAGAGGGCAGGTCCCATGCTGGGGGAGCAGAGGGGCACAGAGAAGGGAGGCCTGGAAGGTTCTGGATGAGGCACCCGCAGTAAGTGGCCCCAAGCCCAATCACTCAAGGGCTTTGGTCCCCACCCCAGCCGCTATCCCGGCCATTGGGTCCTCTGTGACCCCAGCTAGAGGTGACAGCCCCTACACAAGCTCTCTTCCCCGTTGGACAGAGCATCAGGACAGCCACTTACAAGTTGTTAACATCACTCTCTCCAGCCTCATCCAGCTGCCGGTCGCTCATCTGAAGGTTGCCTGGGAACCTGGGATTCTGGGAGGCAGAGGAGGACAGTGAGAACAGGGACCCTCCAGAGCTCCCTACACACACCAACGAAGCCGACATCAAGCAAGCCATCCCATGGAGCTCGGGCAGCAGCAGGCTGGACTCTGCTCCTGCAGGCTCCGGCACAGTCCTCGGGGAAGGGGCGCAGCACTCACGACCTCACACGTGCACAGACCCCTTGACTGGCTCACAGCAAAGAACATCCCACCTACCATCACAGGGGAAGTTCCATACCATCCCTGGGACCCAGGGAAGGGCCGCTCCCTCACAACCCACGCCACGGACATCTCCGTGGTGCAGAGACACCCAGCGTGTGACAGCAGTCGGCCCTCAACCTGATGCCCACAACACGCAGGCAGGGCAGCCTTCACCTAACCCCAGTACATCCTGAATCCTATCCATGCTTCCCGCTGTCCTTGGACCATTTCTCGAAGCTGCTGTTGTGAGTTCAGGGCAGGCAAACCCATTCTCATATTAACTGGTGCAAAATATCATTAGTAACATAAACTTGAAGGTTGGAAAATATCACCCCCAAAATCAGGGGAAATGATTTGGTATCATCAGTCATCATCAAGTATCTGTGTCCTTCTCTCCTCCTTGGCATGGTCTGTTCGAAGTGGATGGAACACAGGGCAGAGGGGCAGGAGGAGTGAAGCACAGACAGATGAACGGCCAGTCCATCCAGAGGCCTCCGTGTGAATTCTTCAGGCTCTGAAGACAGAAATCCTCCCCGCTGGCACCTCCTTCTCCAGCTATAACACTGCTGCCCTCTGTCCTAGCAGCCCCTCCTGCCTTCAGGCCCCCTACTTCTGCTCCTCTGGCTTGGAGACTCAGGCCAGTTCCTGAATTGCCCCCTGCTGGCTGCCTTTCCTTCCTGCTCAGCTCAGTCTGGATGTGATGGCGACCTGACCCCTCATGCCCTCTCCCTTCTTGCTGCCTGTCCTTCTACCACACCCAGGTCAGTTCAGTGAGCCTGGGTCTTTGTCACATGCTCTGTGCCTCAGGCCAGCTGCCAGTCTCCCTGGAGAAGGACTCACAGCCGGGGTCTCTGTGAAACTGCACCCTCTAGCTTCAGCACCCCACAACAGTCCTCGCTCCTGCCCCGCCCGTGCTCCCACTCTCAACCTGGGGCCACGCTCCTGGCACGTGCCTGCCTCTTACATCGCTGGTAGCTCAGCACCCTGCTTCCCACTCCCTTCCCCCACTTCCAAGGTACCCAGTGGTCCTTCCCTCCCTCCCTCCAGCTTCAAAAGAGGGCCGCCTCCTTCCCAACTCAGGATCAGCCCCTCCCCTTGTGTGTATTTGATCCAGTCTAGTTTCTGGCTCTTTCTCTCACTCATCCAACAAATCCTGACTGAGCACTTCTGGGCTAGATGCTGGGCCACACACAGGACCCAGGGACACATGCACATCTGTTCTCTGTGCTCTCGGAGCCCCCGGTGCAGAGCGCCCACGGCCCCACTCTGCCTCCCTAAGCTCCTGCCGGCTTCCTGTCACCCAGCTCTTCCCCACGCCCCCTCCCCCCAGTTACTGCCCCCTTCCCTCTCCTCCTTTTCCTGCCAATCTTCAGGCAGTCCCCAACCCTTGGCTGTCCCAGAGATAACTGTCCTAATTCTGGCTCTCACTCTCTTAGAGACCGACGGCCCAGGTCTCCCCAGGTCACCCTGCACCCTGACTGGGATGGCCTCACACTCCTGCCCAGTCGCCTGACACTCTCCACCCCGCCAGCTCCTCGCACTGATGTGGAGCTCCTGATAGGTCCATGTGGATACCAAACTGTTGCGAGCCTCCTGCCCTATGTCCCCAGCTGACCTTCAGCCTGGTACGCCCACCCTGTCCTTCCTCATCGGCCCGCAAAGTGGCAGACTGGGGTCTGCAGGGGAGAAAGTGCACCCCGCAGGAGAGAGGGAAGGAGGGATGTGAACTGTGGGGCCGGACGGCAGCTGAACATATTTTTCAACCATGGCTGCTGCAACGCATCCCATTCAACATGCTCTCTTTACGATGTGACCCTGACATTCCACGTCGAGGGGTATCCGTCCCCTCCCTGTGAATCTACGGACCTCTGTGACAGCCTCAGCCAATATACGATGGTTGAAGGGATGCCCTGTGACTCCTGAGGCTGTGTCAGCTAAATGCCATGCATCCTGCTTGCTCTCTTGGCAAACTCTCCAGGTTGCAAGGAAGCCCTGGAAGAGAGAGATGCCAGGCCAGCCCCACACTGTTTCAGCCCCAGCCAGCATCTGACTGTGACCCCACGGGAGACCTTCAGCCAAGCCCTTCTGGAACTCTGGGCCAACAGAGCGTAACAAAGAGAGATAACAAAGGACTGTTGTTTTCAGCTGCTAAGTACTGGGCTGATGTGTCATGCAGGACGGATGACTGTAACACTCTGAGGCTGAGCTCAGGGGTCACTGCCTCTAAGAAGCCCACCTGGTCGCCCAAGTCTGGGCAAGAAGCCCCATGACATGCTCTGTGAGCCCCCTTGCTCCTCTCCCCGCTGGACGATGACTCCCGAAGACAGTGGCCAAGTCTATTGCCCCCTCTCTCTCCCAAACCCTGTCCAGCCCTGGCCCAGGGCAGGCACTCAACAGTACATGGGGGAGTGAGGGTGACCACTGAGCACTGTGAGACCTTCAGTGTCACATGGGCCTGGGTTCAAATCCCACCTCACCGTCGAGGGGCTTTGTGACTCAGACAAGGGACTGAACCACCATCCAAGTTTCACTTTCCTGAGGTGTCATCATACCTCCTTTATAGGGCTGTTGTGAGGATTAAATGATGTTCAGAAAAGGTCCTACCGACTCGGATGGTTTCAAGGAATCAAAGCTACCCCGAGGACATAAAAGATAAGGAAGACAAAAGACTCTAATTTATGGTATTTCTTCTTAAGTCTCCTCCCTTGTCCGTTTCCACCACCAGCTCCCTAATTCAGGCCGTCTTTCCTCCCACCCGGCAGGTCACTCCACGTCTCTGCCCGCACGCACGCCTGCTTGGCACTATTACACGGCTACTGCAAGTGTGTAAGCCTTCTCTCCCAAACGGATGTCAATTCCTAGACAGCAGACCCTTTCCTTTTATTCTTCTCTGCCACTTGGTACGGAGCACACAGTTTTACACGCATTCGGTGCATAAGAAATACTGACTCAAGTCATATCTTGATCAGAAGAAGGTCCGGTGTGGAACTTGCTCCATAAATGGAAGGAATTGTTTTTATTAACAGTCAAGTCTTCTGAAATATTTTCATAAGGCCCCCTGGTAGATCAGGTTTCTTTTTCTATTTGCAAAACGGGGAGCAAAAGATGCAGAAGACCTGGACCAAAATCCCAAGTTCCCCTGCACACCTCAGAGGCTGACTACCGTGGCCCTATAAGGGGTTTCCTCTCCTATGGCTGGACTGTGGGATCTGGGAAGCCAGCTTGTCTTCTTAACTGAGAGACCTGACCATCAAGCCCACCCGGATGTGAGGGGCCAGCGGGGAGGGGCGGGGGGAAGAGGGGCGGGGCCGGTGACAGGACTGCCCCAGAGACTCACTTTCGTGTGGTACTCCATCTTCGTTCTCAGCAGTTTGAGGTAGATGCTGCAAAGCTGCCCGTACCCCTCACTCAGGTGGCCCTTCAGGAAGAGGACAGAGAGCAGGTGTCACCACTAAGAACATTGGATTGAAAGACAACTAGGACGTCTTTTTAAAAGAATATATTTTTCTATGGTTACTAAATGGGAAAGGAGTGGGGGCAGGGATAAATCAGGAGTTTGGAATTAACAGATACACACTACTGTATATAAAACAGACAACACAGACCTACTGTATAGCACAGAAAACCATATTCAATTTCTTGTCATAAACTATAATGGAAAGGAATCTGAAAATAGATGTACGTCTATGTATAACTGAATCGCTTTGCTGTATACCTGCAACTAACATTGTAAATCAACCACATTTCAATAAAAAGTAAAATTTGAAAAAAATTTTTTCTGAGTATGTAAATAACATATGTCCACTATTGAAAATTTGGAAAATATAAAAAAGTACATATGCAAACCAATCACCTTTAACCCAACCATCAGATATAAACATTTCTGACATTTTGGGGTACTCAATGTTATTTTATTTTCTCAAGTGAAACACACTTTATTTTTTAGAGCTATTTTAGGTTCACAGCAAAACTGAGCAGAAAGTCCAGAGATTTCCCATATACCTCCTGCCCCACACACGCACAGCCTCCTTCGCTGTCAACATCCCACAGCAGAGTGGGATACTTATTACAGCTGAAACATCATTATTGTCCAAAGTAAAGTTTACATTAGGGTTCACTCTTAGTGTTGTACAACCTATGGGTTTTGACAAATGTACAACAACATGTATTTACCATGACAGTATCCTACTGAAAATCCTGTGTTCCGCCTTTATTTTAAAATATAAAATGGAATCAATTTGGCTTCTTTTCACTGAATACACTGCATTGTTTTCCATCTTCATAAATTTTCTTCTGTACATTATTTTTGCTGACTGCCCAGTGCATTGTAAGTTTCTACCATAATTTATCAAACCAACACACTACTGTTTTATGTTTGTCCTACAAACTACAAACTACTGTCCTACAAAAACTATGTTTCAAGGAACATTCTTACAGTATAATCTGGTGTACAAACGTCCTTTGGATAAATTCGGGACACGGCTTCCCATTTAAGAATTTTAAGTCTGCCCCCTCATCTATCACAATCTGGCCATGGGCTATCTCCTTTCTTCTGTCTCTCTCCAAGCACAGGAGAGGAAACAACTCCTCCAGGTGGATTACACCTGGGATGGGGACTTGAAATGGGACCAAACCTAGCTGGTAAAGAAGCCTTCCCATGGAGTCTGACCATGCAGTCATGTCCCAGGTGCCTGGGAAGAAGCGAGGCTTAGCTGAGTGATGCGGCAACTTCCCATTACATACCAAAGAAGAGGCAAATGGGGCACAAAGAACCTTAAACTGAATAGCTGTGGCTCCCACGGGAGTCTTGACTTCTCCATTTTCTTCTATCTATATCCTCTAGAGTAGAGGACCCCCACTGAAAGATGCTCCAAGGAGCATGAAAGAGAGTCAAATAATCAATTGAATTTAAAGATGTCAGTGCCAGAGATGACAGTATTTCATAATGTTTTAATTTTCTATGAAAACTCGTAATTATTAATTTTTATGTTATACTTGTTCATTACAGAAAAATCAGAAAGCAGTTAGAAGTAGGAAAAGTAAAAATACACTCATCATGAAACACAACTATGCTTCGCGTGAAGATGCACCAGGGTCAGAAAGTCAAGGATGAGTGGACCAGCCTTAAATGCAAAATGCGAAACTATAAAACCCCTAGAAGATCACAAAGGAGAAAACCTAGATGACCTTGAGGATGGGGATCACGCTTTAGATATCACACCAAAGGTACAATCCGTGAAAGAAGTGATAAGCTGGGTTTCATTAAAATGAAAAACTTCTGTTCTGCAAAAGACACTGTCAAGAGAATGAGAAGATAAGCCACGCACTGGGAGGAAATATTTGCAAAAGGCACGTCTGATAAAGGACTGTTATCTAAAGTATATAAATATGATCTCAGAACTCAACAATAAGAAAACAAACAATCCAACTAAAAACTGGGCCAAACACTCTAACAGACACCTTATCAAAGAAGATGTAGAGATGGCCAATAAGCGTATAAAAAGATGGTCCATATCCTATGTCAACAAGGAAATGCAAATTAAAACAATGAAATACCACTACATACCTAAGAGAATGGCCAAAATCCAGAACACTAACAACTCTAAATGCTGGTGAGGATGCAGAGCAGTAGGAACTCTCATTTGTTGCTGGTGGGAATGCAAAATGGTACAGTCATTTTGGAAAACAGTTTATTAGTTTCTTATAAAACTAAACATACTGTTACCATATGATTCAGCTAATGGAGCTCCTTGGTTTTCACCCTAAGGAGCTGAAAATTAATGTTCACACAAAAACCTGCCCATGGATGTTTACAGCAGTTTTATTCATATTTGCCAAAACTTGGAAGCAACCAAGATGTCCTTCAGTAGGTGAATGGATAAACAAACTGTGGTCCATCCAGACAATGGAATATTATTGAAGATGAAAAAGAAATGAGCTAGCTAACCATGAAAAGGCATGGAGGGACCTTAAATGCATATTGCTAAGTGAAAGGAGCCAGTCTGAAAAGATTGCATACTATCTGATTCCAACAGGATGACATCTGGAAAAGGTAAAAACTAAAAAGGTCAGTGGTTGCTAAGGAGGTGGCAGGTGGCAGGTAGGGATGGGGCAGGATGAACAGGCAGAGTACAGAGGATTTTGAAGTCAGTGGAAATATTCTGTATGATAGACAAATGTTACTATACATTTGTTCAAACCCACAGAATGTATACCACCATGAGTGGACTGTAATGTAAACTATGGACTTTGGTGATTATGAGGGATGTGTCAGTAAGTTCATCAGTCATAACAAATGCACCACTCTGGTGGGGGATGTTGATAATAGGAGAGGCTGTGCACAGCAGGGTGAGTATATGGAAAAATCTTTGTACTTTACACTCAATTTCACTGTGAACCTAAAAACTACTTTAAGAAAAAAAAGTCTTCATTAAAAAAAAAGCAAAACAGGTTTCTAACTTCAGAAACTCTTAGTCAAATGGAAGAGACAGACTATGTAGGGAGAGAGACCTAAATGAATTCTATTTTGCATAAAAAGGCAGGCTAGGTACCTGGGTTGACCTTCCCACTGAAAACTACTAACAATATTGAGTAAAAGATTAAAAATGCTTTGAATACATTAATGAACTAACAAGAGAACAAAGAATCCTCAGGCCAGGAACTGAGTAATTCAGATATTCAGAGAGTAGATGGTTTGATGGGGTCAGGAAATGGTGGAGAGGGGGCACTTTACCACACCAGGTTAATCTGAGCTTTGGTTTCCTGGGCCTCAAGGGCCAGGTGGTGAACAGAAGGCAGGACTCTGACTTGTCCAAGTTGAAGAGTCTGATGGAAGAGACAAAAGACTGCCTTCTTGGTGCAGGGGAATTAAGGGTAAATTGGAAATAACACTCATGTATTCCTGCACTGATGGATTACCCCCTGAGGACTGCAAAGAAAATCTACTGCCTTAAACCACTGTTGTGATGAGAGGCAGGAAATAATTGCTGCTGAGAATTGGACCTATGAGCCGTCCTCAAGGGGATCTGCCTAGGATTCACAAAATTTTTAAGCTGAGAATTTAATTTAGAGTGATCTCAACGGAAGCAAATGCCAATTCACTCTGGAGGAATCTGCCTTTGTTAGACTTCAAAGAATTTCCACCCAAAAAAATCTCAAGGAAAATGAGCAGCTCATAGTAGAAAAATGACTAAGCACACATAGCATGCACAAAATTCACCAAAACAATAAATGGCAGGAAACAATCTTGAGAACTTTAGAGACTGGAGGTATAAAAAGTGATACATGAAATCACTATATTTAATAAGTCTAAATAAATTAGAGGCTGTTTCAAAATATATGCAGGGCACAATAAATTATAAAGAATGCCAAGCAGATTTGGAAAAAAAAAACTAAACTCCAAGAAATGAGAACTATACTAAAATCAAAAACCTTATGGAGAAGCTTAGCAACAGATTAGACCCAGCTGAAGAGGGAATAAGTGAACTGAAATCTAGATCTACTGAAATTATCCAGAATGCATATAGAGACAAACAGAAAAAAATGAAAGTGGTTTAAAAACATGGGGAATAGAGTGAGAAAGTCTAAAATACAGCTAACCAAATTCTCAGAGGAAAAGAAAAAATGGAGCAAAGGCAATATTTAAAGAGACAATGAGAGATTTTCATAGTTGTTAAAAGATATTAACCCACAGATTTAGGAAGTCCAAAGTACCTAAAATAAATTCATAACTAGATACATACTAAGACTTTAAAAAGTCAGAGAAAAAAGCACAGATTAGCTTCAAAGGACTGATGGTGAGTCCAACAACAGACTTCATAAAAATGATGAAAGCCAGAAGTCAGTGGAAGGATATCCTGACTAATATCTTCCATTTACTGAGAGAAAATAACTGCCATCCCAGAGGAAGTATCTTTCAAGAATGAGGGTGAGAGGAAGACATTCTCTGTCAGGTAAAAATGGTTGTTTGCCACCAGCAAACTCTTTACTAAAGGAAATTCTAAAGGAAATAAGCAGAAAGAAAGGGATCCCAGATGGAAGGCATGAGATGTAAGAAGAAATGAACAGCACAGAATAAAATAATTAAAATATCTTATAAGGTCTAAAAAGAAAAACATAACCAAAATTAAAATACATGACAACAATACACAAGGTAGTGAATGGAGTTAAAATAGTCTAAAGTCTTTGTGGTATATAGGAAACAAATAAAGATATGAATTTTAGGCACTGATAACCTAAGCATGTGTTTTGTAATTATTAGATAACATTACCAAGAATTTTTTTAAAAAACCTCTGCTGTTATTTTTTTTTTAATCTCCCAACTAGTAATGAGGAGAAAATGGAATGAGAAAAAATACCTAATCAATCCAAAAGAAGGCAAATGATGAGAGAAATAGAAACAGAACAGAAGGGACAAACAGTATGATATAAAATGGGAGCTAGAAATCTAAACATATTAGGTATCATAATAACTGTAAATGGATTAAATGTTCAGTTAAAAGAGGACTTCCACCTTGAATTTTTTAAAAAATGCAACTAAATCCTATTGACAAGTGATATTTCTAAGACATAAGAATATAGGAAAATCAACCACTATGATGTACATCTGAAACTAATATATTATAATCCAACTATCCTTCAATTAAAAAAAAATGACCATAAACTAGCTCATATAGCAAGTCTCAAAAAACTTTGAAAAGTCAATATCATATTGATTCTCTGGCCACACTACAATAAATATGTATGCAAAAAATATTAGAAAGAATATAGAAAAGTCAAAAGTAAAAAGGTAAAAAAGATACACCAGGTAAATTCTAGCAAAAAGAAAAAAGACCTAAGCTTTCCATGTTACAGAAATATAATAGAAAGCTCTCTAGCAAGCAGTTGGGAGATTTGGGGACAAACCTCAGCTTTGTTCAGACTAACTCGCCTTGTGACTTAGGAAAAGCTGCTTCCCTCTCTGGGCCTGTGTTTCTCATCTGTAATGGGTAGACTGGATGACATAATTGCTAACATTCGTGAGTGCAGACAGACACAGGTAAGAATCTAAAAGAAAGGGCTAACATGGTAGTTCTTAAGCAGTGAGGCAGAAAGACACATGAGAATCAACCAAGGAGATTCTTCAGAAGGCAAGTTACTTCCTGTCCAAACACATACTCCTTGGGTATCAGAATCTGGAGGGCTTCTGGTGTGTGTATAAGAACACTTCTTTCAGCTGATTCTATTATTGTCGCCTACCTCCTCCCTCTTGCTAAGGCCCTGAGAATCCCTAGATAGGAAAGAAAAGGCTCTAGCATTAAAGATTGGGAATCCCAGTTCTCAACGTACTGTTCTCAACAATCCCAGCGGGACCAAGTGAAAAGAAAGAACTGTGGCAGTGTCACTGCTGAGGGATCTCAATGCCTAGAGAGCATTGTGACATGAGGTTCCATCACCAGCACCAGGCCCTAGAACTTCCCTGCAGCCTCCAGGGACCCCGATAAGACTGTGGCTATCATGGTTCCATCTGGAGGCATCCTTGACCCCTCCCTGATGCTCGTGAGAGAAGTCCTAAACAACCTGAAAGAAATGAATTTGTTCCATTCCATATTCCTTGTTCTGTGGCCTCCAAGGAAGGACAAGAAACCATAGGTGGCCCCTGGACACATGTCCAAACTCACCCACATCCTGCTCATGTCACTCAATTCATTTTTGTATCTCAGAGAATCTTTCAGGACCTGGAGAAAGAGGAGAGGAGACAGAGGATGGTGAAAGATGGGCTCAGGGTGGGGCAGAGAGGGTGATGGGAGGGAGATGAACCTGCCTCTCTAATTGATACCCAAAAGGCCAGGAGAAGGAGCAGTTGCCGCCTTCAGTGTAGGGGCGGACAGCGGCCCCTGTGACCTAGGCAACTGCACTTTCCCCACGTGGGCCCCTGGCTCCCTGCCCATCCCCTGCAGCCCCAGGAACTCACATTTGGGTGTCCATCCCGGAGGAGTTTGTGGAACACGTGGCAGAACTTCCAGCAGAGAACAGCATTGCTGGAGAGGGGCAGCCGGTTGACAACAGACCAGAAGGTCTGTGCCCCCTTCTCATGGTGGGTGCCCAGTATGCACGGTGAGGGAGGGTCATGGAAAACAAAGGCACCAGCCCTGCCCCAGCAGCCAGCCCTGGGAGGGAGCCTGCAACAGCCCACTGTTGGGGGTTGTGCGTTGCGCATGGTGCCACAGCACTACCCAGCAGGGGGCGCCATTTATAACGATGACACCACAGATCTGCACACGTATCCTGGCAATTTTTGGGCAGATGGCAAAAAGGGGCCTCATCCTAATAAAATCCATTGTTAGACAATTTCCCCAGAGATGCAATGTCTTTTGGGAGGGGTGTATTTTCCTAGTTTGCACTAGTGCACTCCGGGCCAGCCATGGCCCCGGTTTGCCTTTAGCGAGAAGATGCTTTGGTTGGAGCTTACTTTGCTTTGGGAAGACAGACTGCCTTTCCTCTAAGTTTGTTGAGTCTGTGATTGGGGCCTTTGCAGCGGGATAATTACAGTTAACATTTTAACCATACAATACAGCTTCTCAAAATTCTGTGTTCTATAGTGATTAATAGTGAAAAACAAGGGCGTGCTTCAAGGGCCCTGGCCCCTACTGGGGACCCACACCCTGGCTAACCAACACCCTTGGCTCCTCTTCCAGGTGGCACCTGACTCCTCTCCTGTTAAGCATTCTGCTCTTGCCCTGAAAGCATCAATCTTGTGTTTAAAACGTCTTTTCCCTAAACTTACAATAAACTTATAAACCCTACCTCTTCTATAAACTTTCCTGGCCTCATCCAGGGGTGCCTTCATCACCCAAACCCTTGAATTCCTTGCATGCAGGATTCTGGGGCCACCTACCCCTGAGATCCAATTCCAAACCTACCTGACACCCATGGACCGCCTGCCACAATTTATGTGTAATAAATGTCCTTCTGGCCTATGTGATTTTAATGGATCACCAGGCCTCTATAATTTGGGAGCTCTTTTTTGAGGAGAGGAGAGGATTTCCACATTTCTTTTGTAATTGTTGCTTACACCCAGTAAGTGGGCACCATCCATCCCAAGTACAGCAACTTCCTTGGAACTTTTGGCTTCTTTATTTCCAGGCTCAGGTAAGAAGCACCATGTCATGTAGGAAAAATTGCCTAGGTTAGAAATGATGTGACTCATCCAAAGAGACATGGTGTTTTGCTTCTGAGCTGGATGGTATCATAAAGTTCCTTCCAGGAACTGAAATTTGCATTTTGAGAGGGGCCGCCTTGAACATGGAGTTTGGGGTCTGGAAGCTGAAATCGGCGTTTAGTCTTAGAGGGATTTCTCAAATAACTTAGGGTATCAACTAAAGCACAGCCCCCTTGGTCTAGAAGAAAGCTGAGGTGAGACGGACAGCTTCTTGTATCCTCTCGCGATGATTTCTCATGGCAGATTGCGGCTCCTTTAACCAGACACCTAAACAGAAGTCAGGGCAGGAGTGGAGTGGGCTGGGTACCCTGGCTTTGAAAGAGGCAAGGAGACCTTTCTGTCTGTCTTGATTTCATAAGCATTGTAATGTATCCAATACCCGTCAGATGCTGTAAAAGGAGATAAAGAAAAATAAGACACAGTCCTCCAGAAGTGGGTACCGTGGTCAGGATACCAACCTGCTGACCAGGCAGGCAGCCGGGATAAATGCTCTTCTGAACAGCATTTCTGAAGTCAGACTTCCCAAATGCTTATTCAGTTAGGAGTGAGGGTAGCTGACGCTCCTTAAAAGTATCGACAGAGAAGAAATGTTTCCTCATAAGCTTTAAACCCTACTGTATGGAGTTGATCTTTTCAACATTTATCCACTCCTTAGAAATTGTAAGGCAGAGAGACTCCTAGAATGTCAGAGCTAGAATGTTAGGACTTTGAAATCTTCTTTGGCCGACACTTGGCTAAGACAACAGAGTTAAAGCTCACAGAGGCCCCACTGGGCCCACTCAAGGTCCCAGAACAAGCCAGAGCTCCAGAGATGGGATTCTGGAATCTCCCTCCAGTGTCCCTTCTGCCACCCCAGGTAGCCTCCTTGGCCAGATGTGACATGGCCTGGCCACTATAGGCATGGGCCTCTGTGTGCCCATATGCCATCCAGAGCAGCACACTGACCCGTGACAACAGTCCTCTCTTACTTCCTGCCTCACATCCGACTGATCAGTAGTCTTAGCAGGCAGGGGTCAGGACTGGGTAACTCCTTCCGAGATAATCAGTCAGTCCACTAATAATTAAGGCTTTTCTTGGTTTGGTTTTCTTGATTCACTAAAGAGTCAAAGGAATAAAGGGCAAGGTCTGGCTAGGCTTACTGTTGGGCTCCCAGGTTTCTGGGGTACCCGGGAGAGGTTCTATAGCCCCATCCCGCAGCAAAGTCCTAATTCCAACCAGAGCATCTTCCCACTAAAGATGAACTGCTTTCCCTCTGGTGAAGCATAGTACATGCTATTAGCAACAATTCCCAAGGGCATGGCGGGTTCTGGAAATCCTGCTGGCAGGGCTAGCCTGGAGGGTCTCCTGCAGGGGCTTCAAGACAAGCTATTCCAACCTGACTGGCTGTGGTGCAGCCACCAAGACCAGCCCCGGTAAGGAGCTGCCCACCCCAGGCAGAAGCTCAGCCTCCACTGGCCCTGTGCTCCGCCTGGCCACACGCAGAGTTAAGGCTGCATCACTGGCAGCCTCTCCTTTGGCCTTTGAGGATTAGCCTTCCAGCACCTGGCTCTACATCACAAGGCCAGATCACAAGGGATCCACCAGCCAGAGCACTGCCTGCACTCTTCTCCAAGGCCACAGACCCATGGTGGTGGTCGCCCAGGGCCTCTGCCAACTCAGGGCTTGGTGAAAACCTTCAAATCATCAGCTCCCTAAATCCATCCTGACCTTCTTGTCTTCTTCCTCGTGGCTTGGGGGTGGTGTGGGGGGAACGAGCCCACACAGGTGGCCTTGCTTACATGGCTGAGCCCCTGTGTCAGTTTAAGGTCAACCGCTGCTGCTCAGACCTCTGTTTTGCTTTCATGTTCAGAGAAGGGGATTTGATCATGTTCCCAAGGGGGTGGTCATGTGACCAAGTGCAGGGCTCAGAGCGCTTTGATGATACAGGTGAAAACCCTTCCTGTGCCCTGAGAAAGTATCTCAAAGGAAAGTGACTTCAAATGACTGGGCAGTTCTGAGAAGCTAAGTCCCAGGAGAGGAGCCGCACTGAGCTAGATGGCAGTTTTGGTCCCTTCCAGCCTGGCCGGCTGTGGGCTCTGAGGCCAGCAGCAGCCAACCCACACTGTTCAGACCCGGTGGGGGCCTGGCTGGTGTGGGGGTTCCCCTTCCTGCAGCTGAGCAAGGACGCCTCGCCCTGACCTCAGTCCCCACGATTTGACCCCATTCAGGGTCGGTCTTCCAAGCAACATCCAAAAGGATATTTCTGGCGTGTTTTTCCTTTACGGCCACTTCCTGCGTATTAATGGCCTTATTGATGCTGACAGTCTGAAAAACAAGAAGGGGAGGGGCAAGGAGGATGAGATGAATAAGCTTCTGAGAGTGGCTGAGACCCTCCCAGACGCCCCGCCCCTTCCCCTCCCTCCAATGACTCCTCTCTCCCCAAAGACCCCTCTGCCCCACTGTCCCCGTGCAGGGCCCCCAGCCGGGGGCAGAAGTGGGCAGTGCTCCCTGGCCAGCTGGCCCGGGCTGTCCTCAGGCAGCGGGCTTTGCTGCCTGGCATTGGCTGTGCCCAGCTGCTGCGCCCGCCTGCCACTCATCCACTTGGCACAACAACATGGCAATTAAAGCCTGCACAAAGGGATGCCTTTCATCCCCCAGGGAAACATTATTTCTCCGGGAGCAGGAGGAAGAGGCGCTGAGATTAGGGAGGGACTGTGACTCAGAGACCATCCAGCCACCCCTCTCTCCAGCTAGAACCTTCCATGGAGTCTTCCCTAGGTGGCCAAGGTCGGCAGTGGTCACTCTCTGCTCTTCTATCCCCACTCTTGGACACTTTCCACCTCCTAACCAAATTCCCTTTTATTTTCTTACTCATATCATAAGGCATGACAAATATTCTCTCCTTTCCAGTAGTTTTTAAAATCATAACTCTTTCGAAGTTAGCAAAGTAGGTTATACAGATAAATACAACTGACACAAACACATACATGGAATTGTATCACGTAGGCTGGTTTTTGAAGGACAGGTTTTTCTTTTCTGTTTTGCTTTGTTTTCTTTCCACAGACGTCATTCTACCCCAACATGTTAACAACCTGTTATGCATCATACACACACACACACCCCTCTACATTCCAAAGTGGTTAATTTTGTCACGGTTTTATAAAACTGAGACCGTCATGCACAGACTTTTTTACATCTTGCTTTTCTTGCTTGAAAATATCCGGTGAAAAATTCTCCAAGTGAACTGGTAACACACTAGTTCATCCTTTAAAAAGGCAACATAATACTCCATGGCGTGGGTGAATGGGATTTATAACATCCGGTATTGCGACTCAATTTATTTCCAGTAAATGGTTACTATATTCCATATATCCTTATTAATTGATGCTTTCATTTCCAAGGGATAGAGTACTAGGAGTGAGATTACTGGGTCAAAGTTGTTGTTTCTCTTTTAAACTTTCCATTGTGGGAAAAGTCCAAGCAGACACAAACAGGATGATTAGTCCAATAAACCCCAGGTCGTCAGTTCCCCAGCACCAACCACTATGAATCTGCAGCCAAACATGCTTCCTTATGGATGAAGGCTCACCAACATTTTCTGTAAAGAGCCAGTTAGTAAATATTTTAGGCTTTGCAAGCCACATGGTCTCCACTGTATTCAATTCTGCCGCTGGAGCGAAAAAGCGGCCTCAGCGATACTAAATGAAATGAATACGTAACCCAGTGACTGTAGCTGAATTCCAATAAAACTTTATTAACAAAACCGGGAGGTGGTCTGAACTTGGCCTGTGCCTCTAGCATGCTCACCCTTGCTTTGTACCATCAGTCACGGATTCCCTTGCTCTGAAGTAAATTCTAGGTGTTATGCCATTTTACCAGTAAATATTTTAGTACAAACATCTAAGGGGAAAAAAAAGACTTTTTAAAAATTAACCATAATACTATGATCACATCTAAAATTTTAAGGATAATTTCTTAATACCATCAAAGGGTTTGGGCTCACATTCCTCTCTTGTGTCACAACAAAAACCTTCCTCGTGGCTATTCTCATCAGGATCTAAAGAAGGTTGCCAGGTTCCCTCAACAGGCTCTAACAATTCACACTTCCACTGACAACGTACAAAAGCATCCCCACCGACAACAGGGCTTACCGCTTCTTTTCATTTTTGCTGATCTTACAGGTGTAGTGACATCTCATCATTACTCTAATTCGTATGTCCATGACTGCTAGTGAGTTTTGAGTATTTTCTTACATGTTCTCATGATCGTTGATTGCCTTACATAGTTATGTATGTTCATCTTACCTTTTAAAAAAAATTAGTTGATTTACAATGTTGTGTTAATTTTTTTCTGGTGTACAGCATAGTGATTCAGTTATATACATATATATTCTTTTTCATTATAATTACTACAAGATATCGAATATAGTTCTGTGCGCTATACAGTAGGAACTTGTTTATCTGTTTTATATACGTTCATCTTATCTTTTATAGCTTCTACATTTTTCTCCTGCTCCTGTTGTTTATACTGGTAGATGCTTACATTTTCTTCTAAGTGTTTTACTGTTTGTATTTTACACTTGAGTCTTTACCTGGAAAAACTACACACTTACATGTATGTATGTCATATATGTGTGTGTGCATGTACAGATGGGATAGAATAGGTTATTTCTAGGCTTTACCAAGATGTGTCCTTTTACATCTGGTTTACATAACTTTTGGGTGTGTCCTTTAAGTTCACTTTTGCACATATTTTTTTTCTTCCCTACCAGACTCAACTCTTTAACACCATAAGCTTTGTTGTGAGTTGAATTGTGTCTCCCCACAAAAAGATATGCGCAAGTCCAAATCCCCGAGCACATGTGAATGTGATCTCATTTGGAAACAGGCTCTTGGCAGATGCAATTACTTAAGATGAGGTCATACTGGATTAGGGTGGGTCCTAAATCCAGTATGACTGGGGTTCTTATGAGAAGGTCTTGGAAAAACACAGAGGCCCAGACACGCAGGAGGAAGACAGCCATGTGAAGATGGAGGCAGACATTAGAGTAATGTGCCTACAAGTCAAGGGATGCCCGGGGTGGCCAGCAACCACTAGAAGCTAGGAAGAGGCAAGGATGGATTCTTCCCTAGACTCTCAAAAGGGACATGGCCCTGCCAACACCTTCCAGCCACCAGAACTGTGGGAGAATGAATTTCTGTTGTTTTAAGCCACCCAGTGTGCAGTTAACCCCATCAGAATCAGCCCTCCCGGAGGACAAGGCGAGGGCAGATACTGCCTTCCCTGTTCCCTCTAGCACAGGCAGCGCGCTCCCCTGAGCACCATTATTGGCTGTCAGCGCAAGAGTAAGACCAGTCAAGAAGGAATCTCATATAAGAGACGCTGCGAGAAAGAAGTAAAAAGTTTATTCCCCCACATCTCCCAGTGAGGCAGTACTCATGTCCCATGGAGGCCCAGTGCTTCCACCTTCCTCTTAACAAGTCCCTCCTGGGACCTCATTTCTCAGCATCTCTTCCAGACTCATCCCAGGCCATCCTCTTTCCTTCAGATTTCCTCTGATGACTGACAGTAGTTCCGCCTATGTTTCTCCCAGCTCCAGATGGGATCCTGGCTGCAGAGAGACCTCTGGGCAAAGTGACCACATTTGCCAAGCCCTTCAAGGTTGCCTGCATTCGTAAGAAATTATAAGAGACCTAAAAAATGTAAGAGGACAGCCAGAGACCCAAGTCCAATAAGGTGTGAACTGCAGGTGGTCAAGCTCCAGGGGGTTGGTGGACACAGTCAGTAGCATGAGCCATGATGGATGAAGGAAAATCCACACTGGCCGGAAATGCTAGAAACTGCATCAGGGCCTCAAGGGAGGACCATGATGGGTGGGGCTTGGGTTTATTCCACAAATATCTGTTCATACTGACTGACCAATTCCCAAGCTTGTGGTCACTGTGAGCCTTGCTCGAAAAAAAAATCCTTAAAATTCCCTTAAGCCACACAAAATAATACACCATGAGTATATAACCACAGACTGCATGTGTGTGTCTGTGAACTGAAAACGTTCTGTGCTCTACATGTTGAAAGGCGGGAGAAATCCCTTGAAACTGCTCCAGGAAGATCTGTCAAAGGAAGAAAGGGGTTATCTATCTGTCCAGGTGCCTCTCCCACCATTTACCTACTTCTCTCATTTACGCCGCCCACCAACTTGAGAGGCAGCTGCAGTGGCTGCACAGAAAGGCTAAGCCCCTTGGCCAAGGTCATAATACTATTCTGGTGGCTAGATCCTCGAGTCCAGCTCTGGAAAGGCCTGGAGCACGCCGGCTGGGTGGGCTGCAGGGTCGCTTGTAGGCAAGGGCAGGGGTGGTGGTGGGAGTAGTGGTGAGGGATGAGGCCAGAAAGGGAGGGGGCGCCAGGTGCTGGTGGCCAGCGGGCTTTGGCGCGGGCAGGAGGGGATGGAAGCAGCTGGAGGAAGAGGGTTGAAGAGGCAGCTATTAGTAGCAGAGAGGTAAAGGAATAAAGGCCTCAACCCAAACGATGGAAGTGAAAATGGAACGAACCTGATATAAGGTGGGCTATAAACAATTTCAGTAGGACAGGCCAGCAGGATCTCTCAGTCCCCGGGGACAAAGCAGAGGGAAGTATCAGAGATGCCACAGCGGTTATGAAGCCGGACAGAGGGCAGGACAGAGGCCGGCATCTCAGGCTGAGGGGACACTAAGCAAAGGACAGTGAGGCTGATGAGGGGAGGCCCTTGGGGTGAGAAACAGCCATTTTTAAAAGAATGGGGAGGTGAACTAGCAGTAGCAGTGGTTATAATCATCAAGATAATGGCAGCTAATGAGTGATTACCAGGTCTGGTGCTAATAAACATTTTAAATGAATTATCTCATTCAAGTCTTATAACTACATCTGATGAGTAGGTGGGCATTAGTATTACTCATCTTCATTTTACAGATAAGGAAACCAAGGCTTAGCAAGGCTAAGTAAATTGCCCAAGGTCGCTCCACCAGCCAGCGCAGAGCTGGAACTCAGACTCAGCTGTGTGCGTCCACAGCTCAGGCTCCATCACAACCCCCACACCAGACACGGTCCTCCACATCACAGAGACTCAGAATCAGAACCCAAACCATTTCCGCAGACTGCAAAACTGGGTTAAACGTCACAAGATGCAATCCAGCAGGCATAAAGGAAGTTTATTGTACTGAAGTCTCAACTTGCTGGCATAGCAGAGGATATGACTCAAAGCAACACTTGAGAAAACGATTTCGGTGTTTTATTTGGCTGTGAACTTAATATAAGCAACATCGTGATGTGGGTGATCAAAATGTAGGTCT